ACCTTTTTTCAACACTAAAAACAAGATTATCAAGATTGATCTATCTACTGTTTTTTTTTATTTCATTTAACAAACATCTGTCTTAGTTTCACTTATTGGTGGCTATTTTTAGCTCACATGGTGAGCTTTTGCAATCACTCACTTGTCCGTCTGTCTGTCCGTCCGTCCGTCTGTACGTCCGTCCGTCTGTACGTCCGTCCGTCTGTCCGTCAACAATAGTGGCACGTTTTAAAACCTCTGTTGATAGGATTCCTGTTTTAAGTTATTTCTGATCAACATCAATACAGAAAACCCCCCTATGACTCCTGGTTCAAAAGCTCGCCTATTTTCAAAATGGCCGTCACTTTTGTCTCGCGAAATTCACTTTTAGCCCATTTCCTAGCTAACCTCTGTCGATAGGATTCCTGTTTTAAGTTATTTCTGTTCAACATCAATACAGAAAACCTCCCTATGACTCCTGGTTCAAAAGCTCGCCTATTTTCAAAATGGCCGTCACTTTTGTCTCGCGAAATTCACTTTTGGCCCATTTCCTAGCTTTACAAATAATTTCAGGTGTCCTACATTGTAAAAATCCATGTCAATGTAAAGATTAGATATATGAAATAATTTTGTTACAAAAAATCAGCGAAAAATTGTATCCATTTTTTTATTTTCAGCCATTTTAGTTAACATTGATTTGTCTATCTGACTCGCGAAATCCACTTTCTGTCAATAACAGTGGCAGTGTGGCACGTTTTAAAACCTCTGTCGATAGGATTCCTGTTTTAAGTTATTTCTGTTCAACATGAATTCAGAAAACTCCCCTATGACTCCTGGTTCAAAAGCTCGCCTATTTTCAAAATGGCCGCCATTTTTGTCTCGCGAAATTCACTTTTGACCCATTTCCTAGCTTTACAAATAATTTCAAGTGTCCTACATTGTAGAAATCCATTGCAAAGTAAAGAGTAGATGTATGAAATAATTTTGTTACGAAAAATCAGCGAAAAATTATATCCATTTATTTATTTTCAGCCATTTTAGTTAACATTGATTTGTCCATCTGTCTCGCAAAATTCACTTTTGGACCATTTACCTTAAAACCTCTGTCGATAGGATTCCCATTTTAAGTTATTTTTGTTCAACATCAATACAAAAAACTCTCCTATGACTCTTGGTTTAAAAGCTCGGCTATTTTCAAAATGGCCGTCACTTTTGTCTCGCGAAATTCACTTTTGACCCATTTCCTAGCTTTACAAATAATTTCAGGTGTCCTACATTGTAAAAATCCATGTCAATGTAAAGGGTAGATATATGAAATAATTTTGTTACAAAAAATCAGCGAAAAATTGTATCCATTTTTTTTCTTTTAAGCCATTTTAGTTAACATTGATTTGTCTATCGGACTCGCGAAATCCACTTTCTGTGGCACGTTTTAAAACCTCTGTCGATAGGATTGCTGTTTTAAGTTATTTCTGTTCAACATCAATTCAGAAAACTCCCCTATGACTCCTGGTTCAAAAGCGAAAAATTGTATCCATTTTTTTTCTTTTAAGCCATTTTAGTTAACATTGATTTGTCTATCGGACTCGCGAAATCCACTTTCTGTGGCACGTTTTAAAACCTCTGTCGATAGGATTGCTGTTTTAAGTTATTTCTGTTCAACATCAATTCAGAAAACTCCCCTATGACTCCTGGTTCAAAAGCTCGTCTATTTTTACCCTGCGTGCAGAGTCTAGTTAAACTACACTCTGCCTAGTAGAGACCATATTACAGTTTAATAGCCCCACCCCCTCGACGGGTACCGGTGACAGTTTGGGTAAAACACTTTTGACCTACGCGCTGCCCTTCCACCAATCAGCGAGCTTCAAGAAACATACGCCAAATGCGTTCTAATTAAATATTCGCATGGCATTGGTCAATTCCGGGCTCAATGATGACGTCAGAAGGAATGACCATATAAAGAATGTCGGTCAAATTTGGCCAACGAAAACTGATTGGCGCGGTGAGTTCACAGGTTTATTTTAGTTTGAAAGAGTGAAGACGAAGCTCTCTTTTAAGAAGTGAAGTCAAACGAATGCAAAGGGTAGCCTATTTTCAATATGGCCGCCATTTTTGTCTCGCGAAATTCACTTTTGACCCATTTCCTAGCTTTACAAATAATTTCAAGTGTCCTACATTGTAAAAATCCATGTCAATGTAAAGAGTAGATGTATGAAATAATTTTGTTACGAAAAATCAGCGAAAAATTATATCCATTTATTTATTTTCAGCCATTTTAGTTAAGATTTGATTTGTCCATCTGTCTCGCAAAATCCACTTTTGGACCATTTACCTTAAACCCTCTGTCGATAGGATTCCCATTTTAAGTTAATTTTGTTCAACATCAATACAAAAAACTCTCCTATGACCCTTGGTTCAAAAGCTCGCCTATTTTCAAAATGGTTGCCATTCTTGTTCCGCGAAATTCACTTTTTGCCCATTTCCTAGCTTTACATTTTAGCTTTAATTTCAGCTGTCCTGCATTGTAAAAAGCCATGTCACTGTTAAAGGTAGTTCTATGAAGTAATTTTGTTACAAAAAATCAGCAAAATATTATATCCGTTTTTTTATTTTCAGCCATTTTAGTTAACATTGATTTGTCCATCTGTCTCGCGAAATCCTCTTTTAGACCATTTGCTCAAAACCTCTGTCGATAGGATTCCAGTTTCAAGTTATTTTTGTTCAACATCAATACAAAAAACTCCCTTATGACTCCTGGTTCAAAAGCTTGCCTGATTTCAAAATGGTCGCCATTTTTGTCTCGCGAAATTCAATTTTGGCCCATTTCCTAGCTTTACAAATAATTTCAGGTGTCTTGCATTGCAAAAAGCCATGTCACTGTAAAGAGTAGTTGAATGAAATAATTTTGTTGCAAATTATTGGCAAAAAATTATATCCGTTTTTTTTTCAGCCATTTTAATTGACTGAGAGACAGATGGCTTGAAATAATTTTGTAACAAAAAATCAGCAAAAAATTATATCCGTTTTTTTCTGTCACCATGTGAGCCCAGTACCCATGGTACTAATTTTTAAAATAGCAGCCATGGCCATTTCATGGGATTTGCTACGCCTTGATGTTGTTTTTATCACAATGTTGTTTTTATCTAATTTTCACATTTACCTGTCAATTCTGCTCTCTTGGTAGTCTAGTTTATGATCTATGATCTTAGGAGAAACCTTGAGTTGAGATCCACTAAGTTCACAGTCACATGTTGCCTCAAGTCTTCGTATTATGTAGATGGCCACAATCAGGACCAACAAGTTCCTTGCTATCATTCCCAGACAGTTTAACAACATCTTGTGCGAATATATAGAGTAAACTAAAGAATTATTCTAAACAAAACCTTTTTCTAATGTGAATATCTTGCAAATACCTGAAGTCTGTGATAAAACTCATGAACATTTGTATTATTCAATGATGTTTGGGAGGGATATAGAGAAGCTATCTATTTGTCCGTCAGTTAGTGTATCAAGGTCATAACTCAAATACTGTTTGTCAGATTAAGCTCAAGTTAACGAAGCTGATCCCTAGTGTGCATAAGTCCTCTGCTGAAGAAAAAATTTATTGTATGGCTGCATTGAAAATGACCACCATTTTTGAATAAAACCGCTTATAATAAGGTTAACAATCTCTGTTTAAGAGGGGATTTTCAATATGGCCTCCAAATTCAAATAATCAACATCTTTTTTCAAAATCTCAGTCATTTTTCCTTCAACTTCAATGTTGTTGGATAGATTGATTATAAATATATATGATAAGAATAAGTGAATTGATAATATATAATTATATTATGGAGAAACTATGAGTACCGGGTTTTAGGAGGATTAATAGCCGAGGGCCAATAGCCCCAATGCTATCAATTTGATTTCGTTTGTATTGACTATGAGGTAAGTGTTTTGAGAAGTGAGTGGGTGTAATTAGTTCAGCTTCAGTGCACTGCATGTAAGAGGTCAGGAACAGTTTACAGTGATCTCCACAGGATTTTTCTAAAGTGGGTGCAAAATTCTCATTTTCACAATTCAGACCAAAATTGGTCAAAATATGCCCACTTTTCATAATTTTTTTATTTTCAAGTGGGTGCAAATGAATTATCAGGTGGGTGCAACCTTATTTTTAAAATCTTACTTTAATGCTTGGGAGATCACTGGTTTAAAATTTGATTTATTTTGTGTTTACTATTCAACTATTGAGTGAATGAAAGGGTTTTAGTAAGATGCATGTGACAGTACAGGTGTAAACATGAGACAAAAATTGTCAATCTTTTTTTTTTATACCAAACTGGGTTTGGATAGCTATGCCAAGTGTCCATTCTTTGAAAATAATAGAAAGAGAATACACTCTTTGTTACAGCTGTATATTCTTTAAATTATTATTATTGGGATATAGTCATCATACTGGTCGTGGTCGTGATCGTGTTCGTGATCGTGATCGTCCCGCTTTTTGTCATCGCCGTTTAAGGAAAACTGCTCATCAGATTTTCTCCAAATTCGCAGAGATGATAGAGCATATGAAGTACTAGAGCTGATTAACTTTTGGGTTGCCATCTTGTTGGTGTTACTTACTGTTTAGTATAAAAGGCATGATCCCGGAATAAAACTCAAGGGTACACAGGATTGAGGTCAGTGTGTCAACACCTTTTCTTGTTTATCTAGCAATAATATAGTATAGATGGTCACACATTTATAAAAGGGAGATTTTTATTTTATTTTACTTTTTTTATGGGTGAAGTTTAGGATCTTCTTTTTGTGTGTAATAGAAAAATATTGACATCTAAATTTGATAACCATCAGGTATTAGCATATAGTATAGCTTCTGAAATGATCTACAAATGAAGCAAAGCAGTTTGGATGAATACAAGGATATATTGGCTGTTTTACATGCATCCTTTGGATAACTCACTCACTCAATGCTGACAGAATCATTGTAAACAGATTATTTTATCTCCATGACGATTTCAATAAACTAGAATTTAGAAACTCAACCTTATCTCATAAAAATGGACTAATCCATTTGACTCGCCTGGAGCCACCATATTGTTTTTGTACAGGAAACTTATCGTAACCCTTTAATCATAGAAAACATTAGAGTCAACATACAATTAACTTGCTGTTATAATTCATCCTCTCATCAAATGAAAATATCAGTATAAGAATCATCAAGGACAGAACTTTCCTAAAATGAATAAGAACTAATTAATGAGCTGGAATGTTTATAAGATTCATTTCTACAGATAAAATTCTAATATTCAGGTTCTTTAGTATTTGCTTCATATTCTTTTTTTCGTTTTTGAACCATTGTGTGAATAACTCCGCTGCACATGCTTTGTGTCTTTTCTGTCATAATTCGGGCACATTTTGTACATTGCCAGTTTACTTTATCATCCTCAGCTTCGTGATCTTTACACCGCGCAGAATCATCCCTGGATGAACAAACGTCATCAATTGTCAACATCGTTGATTCTAACAGTGTGCATCGCTCCTCCAAAATCATGATTCTAGTTTCCATCTTTAATTGAGGATAAAGTTTGTCCGTTTTTAAATCACTTAAGGTATTTTTACGAAGTTGATTGATGCAAGCTTTTCGCAGATTTTTTAGTTTGTATTGTTGAGCCAATAGGAGTCCCTCGACTGTTAAGGTAGTCGCCAAAAGGAAATCTTCGCAGCGTTGTGTAATTTTCTTTATTTGATATTCATCAGCTAATGGAAGGAGGAATCGAACATTTGACTCTGGAAGTAAAAATTCAGCACTAGTACTACTTACTTCTGATTGGTTATTTCTAATACAACTGGAGTTACTATTCAGTTTGACAGAAAAACTAAAAAATTGTAAGCTATGGACATTTTTTGATTTCTGAATAAAAAGAAATGTCACTTAATCTATATACAGATGGATCATCATATATTCAGTAAGGATAAGGGTAATTATTAAATATCATGAACTAAGTTGCATTGAACCCCTGTACCCCCCCCCCCACCCCCAGCATACTGATGAACATAAACTATGCACTAGGTAGTACATACAGTTATAAGGTTTTGGTATCCCTTCTTCCCTTAGTATACTCCAATACATGATTTAAATATTTACCTGAGATTATGTTTTGTGTTGGATATATGCAATGCAGCAACTCAAGGACTTCAACTCGTTTCTTGCCATTTAGACTAATCTCCTTTGACTTCTGGTCATTCACAAACATTTTCTTGAATACGGGCGACCATTGGGCTAAGTAGGATTTGTGGACCTGCATTTAACAACCAACATTTAGATCCTACATATTAATCTCATATCAAAAATGTGATATTTACACATTATCTTTATGCTTAGATTTCCTCACTGATTTTTTAAAGATTGATAAATATAAACAAACATTTTATTTGTGTTAGCTCACCCCTAAGAATCAGTGTAAACAAAGATAGCTACTTTTCTTTTGTATGTATAGTTGACGAATGTTTAAGTACTCCATATTCATTTTTAACACTAAAGTTTAAAGGTACACAACACAAACTGCACGAATCGTTAAAATACATCTAAAGAAAATGATGTTTTTTATAATTAAGTTGCCAAGGGTTGTTGAAAGATAAGAAAAGAGCAAATCAGTCTTAAATCTTTTTAAAAATTAATCAATGGGGAAGAGTGGACCACTGATAAAGTTCACTTACAAATTGTTAAACTTTTACTCGACATTTAAGGACAGTTGTACACTGTATTTTTAAAACTCACCTTTTGAAATACTAATAAGACATACAATAAGATTCTAGATATAGACACTCCTCTTTCTATTTCTATTCAAAATATTTGTGTTTTTATTGAAAAATGTTACATAATTGATTTCCTGGTTTGTGTGCCATACTTTAAAAAAACTATGTTCAACTTACATGTAATTTTTGATCTTCGACAATCAGTGTAATGTCGCTGAATTCATCCTTCTTAGTGAAATCAATGACATCATTCATGGTGTCGTCCATTGACTTGTCCTCCTCTCTAGTATGCTCTGTACCCATGTGATGTAGCTCCTGGCCTGCCATACAATCAATACAGTTGGTCCTCTTAGGCTTGTGTACCTTTGCCAACTTACCACAAGGTTTAACTGTCAATATACTGTAGATTTGCTTGATTCCTATGTAAGTTAACACACCTGTGAGCAGTAGATAACAGGTGCGTACAGGTGAGTTTAACTGTATAATGACAGGTAGTAACTTCACCTTAGAGAGTAAGTCAAAACCCATTGACATATTATCTTGATAAATGATCAGTGAAAATCTTCTCATTTATAGTAATATTATGATACATTATCAAAACAATTCAAGTCAAAGTAATTTATCCTTTTCAAGCCATCTTATTAACCTTTTGTTTTGATAAATTTTTCTTAAAAAAGAGGTAACCCAAGAGATCTTGACTAGTGTCTAGTTATGAAGGTTCACCTACTTATATCTCAAGATAAGTATTTTGATGGTGTCAATCTTCGAATATCATCTTTTCGTGTCAGTGGGTTAATCTCAAGTTAGCTTTTAGTAAAGTGACAGTTATGGGATTAACATTATTTATAACTCAACCACACTTGCATTTGGCTATTCACCATGCCTATGAAACTACAGCAGGAAACTATATAATATACAGTGAAACCTGTTCATTGAAACACTTCAGAGTCCCAAGACCAACCTAATGTTGATTAACCTCTTTAAGTGAAACACCTCCCAAGCTGAACACCTTTTAGAGGTACCAAAGGTGTTCCACTTAGACAGGTTTTACTGTATTTACAAAAAAATAGAAATACTAAAAATAACGTATAGTTTAGTTATCTCATGAGGTTAAAACACCTTTGAAACATTTAAATGCAGTATAACATTTGTAGACTCAAATATAGATATTAACATGGACTTCAAGTGGCCAGTCATTGAAATGTCAAAACTAGCATGTTTTAAGCCCGGTTTTAAGAAACTACTACATTGATGCAAATATGTTAAGGGATTGTGTCCAATTATCAATAGTTGTGGAAGAACAGTTTTATTTTCATTAGGGGAAGAGGTAGTAACTGATGATTACATCAGCAGACTAAAATGTTGATTTTATTAATATTCAAGTGAAAAACCTATTTCCAGCATTAAATTTATTTTTAGGATAAGAGGGGGAGGAAAACTAGAACAAAATAGTTGTAATAGCAAAATGTTGATAATAAGACACCAAGTCCATTCCTTTAAATTTATAATTTTTTACATTTCATAAGCAAAGATTAATACTTATTGATCATCCCTCGTACATGAAATAGGAACTTGTGTGTTATTGTAAATATACTAAAGATAAGTATGATGCTTGATGAATGAGAATCCATTGATATTTAAAAGGAATTTAAGTTTTTATTAAGCTGAATGGCTTTTCCTCTCCTTCTCCTTCAGTTGACCATGGAATATAGTTGATGTAGCTGTTGAGCTGTGGTATCACATGGTATTATCCATCCTCCTAAGCAGGTGTCCAGAATCCGTACCTCCTTCTTCCCCCTGCTATAACCAATTTGGACGCGCCCGATTTAACTGAATCACGTGATCTAATTATGCGCAATAACGTATACATGATTTCTGTAGCAGTGTTGCGACAGCCAATCAGATTGTGAGCTCTTAATCGGGGAAATGGTAACTGCTTATCGCAGGGGGTAAAAAGAAAGAATACTGGATTTTGAAGCCCTGTGATCGGAGGATGGGACTTAATGAGGTTTCAGGTACATCACAGGATCATACACATAGAAAGAATATCTTCCCATGTCTAAAACATGTCATAACATAACCCCATGTTATATATTGCAGAGTGAGTTCAGACCCATCATATTGGAATGCAAAACCTCATTATTCCAAGAATAAATGGTAATAGATGAATTATCTCATGTTGTTAAGCATAGCAATTTTCATGTGTTTCAGATTGTTTCTAAAAAGCCAAATGGTCTTTTCCTAACTAGACTACCATTTGAGTACAAGTCAATCCACGATGAAGTGTTTCCACCTGATGCTATAAAGTTATTGGACCAATGGGCAGATATAGTCAGAGTAGAGAGGTATGTTAAACAATATATTGATACTGGAACTAATGTATCAGTGATCTCCCCAGCATTAAAGCAAGTGGGTGCAGCACCCACCTGAGATTTGAAAAACAGGCTTGCACCAACCTGAAAATCCATTTGTACCCACTTGAAATGAGAAAAATTATGAAAAATTGGCATATTTTGACTTATTTAAGTCTGTATTGTGAATATGAGAATTTTGCACTCACTTGAGGAAATATCCTGTGGAGAACACTGTATTATCTAGAAATTGAAGATTGCCAGCAATGTCACAGAGAGGCCATGTGAGAATGAATCCTACTTTGATAGTCTGCTCTTAGAATAAAAAAAAATTAGATTACTAAGATCTGGACATGATTGTAAGGAGTTTGGGTTGTCTGTTAGTTTGACCAATTTCTGCTCACTTTATGTTTACAGAGGTCAGTTCGCATTGATAGCTTTCATATAACGGGTCATATATAGAACTTCACTGGAGAAATGTTTTTCAATATGTGTGCTCAATTCAAGATAACTGCCATTTCTCATATAAGATTTATCTTTGATACCACCCCTTGACATATTTAGTTGACGTTTTATACACTGATACCTTAAGGACATATGACTACTGCTCTTGTAGAAATTTTTTTTTCAAGACATGATTTTTTGATATTTAACAGTTATCAGACTTGGTCTTAATTTTACAGGTCAATTATATGCCTTATGGTCATAGAAGTATGTATTTTGATTTATGACAATTTATCTGATTTTTTCAGTGGAGTTGGAGATATGAAAATTTTGTTTCCTGTTGCTGGTAGTTCCCCTGTAGTAGCCCCAACCCCCGCCACCCAGCCAGCCCCCCAGAGAGCACCTCAAGATCCAGCCCCCTCAGCCAGAACTGTTGTGATGCCAGCAAAGGAGACTAATGGACATGCTTACATAAATATTACTGAAGACGTGAGGGTGCCTCCCCCTCATCTTCCTTTAATCAGGTCTGTATCTTGTATCTTAGTTTGCATTTGAATTTCATTCAAGTTGAATATACATGTATACATGTACATACATGAATTTATCGTATGATCTGTAAAATGAAGCCTTCTGATTGGTCAGTTCTTGTGCTGTACCAATCTGTATTGGTACTGAGATTGTCCCCATTGATCATCTCCGTCGCAATACAGAAAATATTGGTACGGAGGGGACATTCTCAGTAGTAATACAGAGGATCACACAATAAAAACGTTATAGAATGATTTGAAGTGCAATACAGGATATATTCTGCTCGAGAAATTCTGTATTGGAACGAGACGAAGTCGAGTGCCAATACAGAATATCAAGATCGATAACTTATCAATCAATAACTTATAATACATGTGCACCCGGAGGTGTGGATATTACAATATTGTCCAGTTTTCTTATTTTTAGATACATGTACTGACTTTGAACTATTTTATTTATTCTTGGTATGACAATTTCTCAATACCTTTCTTAGTTTTATAGTCAATTTTGATCAGTTCTGATACAAAATGTACATCCTTCAAAAAGATAAGAGTGCTCCCTCTAAAATAAATTTGATTTCATGAAAACATTTTTGCAAGTTACAAAGTATTCTAAATTAAAAGTACCTGTGTTTGTATAATATAATTACAAGTTATTATTCCATAATAGCATAGGGAATAGAAGTGATATTTGAAAAATCCTGTATCAGATTCCATATTCATATTCCATCCCTCCATTAAAGAACCTCTATGTTTAATGTTTATCCAACCTAATATCAACATCCTATGATTCTTTGTTATTTTCAGATCTAACTTTAGGGTGCTGATTAGCAACACTGAGTCTATAGATGACTTCTATGTTCAGATCAGCGCTAATTCTCAACTTCTCACAGAGTTTTCTAAGCAATTAAATGATATTTATGAAGTAAGCATATTTGACTAGTTGATATTCAATAAAAACATAATGATAAATACAGAATAGTAGGCAGTAAATGATATCACTCAAAATGGTACATTGCACAGATTTTATATGAGATTTTATTGTACAGATAACACAATGATAGTGAGATAAAATACAATATTTTTAATTGATTTTCATTTAAATTTTAACTTGGGCTATTTCCAATTTTTTTTTCTGCCTTTTAAAGTATTGACCTTAAATATCGCCCTAATTTTAAGTAGCTTTTTGAACATGTTTAAACCATTATGGATTTAAATCTGATGTATTTTCTGCGTCTATTACTTACTTTAATTCTATTCTTGCCTATTCAGGCCAGTGTTCCCCCTAAAGTGCTATCAAAACCAGAGGTTGGGACTTACTGTGCAGTATGCTTTGAATACGAGGGTGAGCCTGGTTGGTACAGGGCGAAGATCACAGATTGCACATCGGGAATAGTAAGAGTCCTTTTATTTACCTTTCTTTACATTACAAAGTACTATTTTCTACAAGCTGTTTTTCTCAGATTTCATTAATGCTGATATTTTGTTTTGAGTTTGAAGATTCATTCAATATCATAGTTACTGTTTTATGGGTTCACCTCATTGTTTACTGTATGCACATAATAGTACCATTTCTCTAGAAATGGAAACATATTTTATACCACCAGACACAAAGAGGTGCCCACAAAGCATCTTTGCACTTTACACAGACTTTGTATTGTAAATGTAAAGAGATTTTATGGACACCCTGTATAATATTGTTTCACATTCCAGGAGGGCAACAGAGAATACACTGTGCTATTATGGACACCCTGTATAATATTGTTTCACATTTCAGGAGGGCAACAGAGAATACACTGTGCTATTATGGACACCTTGAATAATATTGTTTCACATTTCAGGAGGGCAACAGAGAATACAGTGTGCTATTATGGACACCCTGTATAATATTGTTTCACATTCCAGGAGGGCAACAGAGAATACACTGTGCTATTATGGACACCCTGTATAATATTGTTTCACATTTCAGGAGGGCAACAGAGAATACACTGTGCTATTATGGACACCCTGTATAATATTGTTTCACATTCCAGGAGGGCAACAGAGAATACACTGTGCTTTATATAGACTTTGGTAATTCTGAAAAGATAAAGGCAAACAGACCTAGGAGGCTTCTCCCCAAGTTGGCTGAGGTCCCAGCACAAGCAATTAAATGTACACTTGATGGGGTATTCCCAAAGGGGGTATGTATTTTCAAAGTATGTCATTTGATCACCATTCATATGCAGTAGTAAAAGTTGCTTGTAGAATATTTTAGTTTACAAACACCCAATAGCAATATGTCTTAATCATGTTTTGTATTACTTTTGGGACATTCTGTATTTTGAATGAAATTAAAAGGGTTTTCATATGCAGAAGTTAAATTTTTAGACAAAATAGATATATTTTATAGACCTATACTGACCAGTAAATATATGTAGATCCATATTAGACCCTCAATAGGCCCATGATATGAACCCTTAAGACAGCCAAAAGACAAATGATAGACTTTGGTGTTTATTTGTGCCTTTCATTGATATTTTTCATGGTTAAAATTGTTGCATAAACAATCTGAGAACAGCCATAAAATGGGAGAAACCAAGCTTTTCTGAAGAAGGTATGAAAGGATAATCTGGACATTAGGCTGTACTTCTCCCAATTTAGATGTGGAACAATTTCCTAAATTTACTTCACCATTCAGACAAATTTGATGTAAATTGTGATATATATCTGCGTACAAAATTACAAAAAGTCCATGTAAATAAGTTTACAGAGTGCAATAATATCCCTCCAAGATTATTTCCAAGCTTGTCAAGCATTCATTGTAGATTGCATTGTGTATTGCTTAGCTTACATCATATGCAGTTCATGGGTAAGTATATAGTATAGCAAAATGAACATGAGCCAAGACTTATTTACGTGTATTCTTAATTAGCTGTTGTACCCAATTTTATATGTCTCCTAACCCTACTATCATACCAAACTAGTTCTCACTACGTTCTCGAAAATGGGCTTCAACTGTGTACGAACGGACTGGACGTACTAAGAACCGTTTGGGATCTATTTACAAACTTCATCGAACGTACTTGAACGGGTAGGTCCTCTAGAACTTAGACAATGCTCAAAATGTTTTCGTGGTCGTCACGTTCTACAATTAGAACGAGTGACAACGTACTAACGACGAGCTGGACGTACTACGAACGGAACCGTCGTACTTCAATCCTACTAGGGACGTTTTAACAACGAGTGGAACTGTCTGAGGACGTGTTGAGAACGAGGTAGAACTCATTGCAAACGGGTTTAAACTGATTAAGAACGTATCTAACACTGCTTATGAACGAGTTAGCAAAAATATAGCTATCACACCAAACAGGTTGCCACTTCGTTCTTGAAAACTGGTTCTAAACTGTGTGCGAACGGAATGAACGTAGCTGCAACTTTCTAAGGTCTATTTACGAACTTTATGAACGTTCTCAGACGGGAATGTGATTTTAGAATTTTGAATCGATTCAAAATTCGATTGCGACCATACCGTTCTGTTAACAGGTCATGATGACCTTCTAGACTAAGGGACGCGTTCTACGGCGTTGCACACCGACGTGGTGCGACCTGAACGAACTGCGAACGAGATGGACGTATTGAAGACTGTTTAAGAACGAAGAAGCTAATTATTTCAGACATATTTCCAGACCACAGCCAGTTTGAGCCCGTCTTACGACGTTTTCGTAGGACTGGCAAGAACGGGTAAGAACGAGTTTGGTGTGATAGGGGGGTTAGCCTACTATGAAAAGAATCAGATTCGTCACATGTGGCATAAATGATAGGATGCTCGAATGTTCTTTAATTTTCAAAAAACAGAGGCGCCATCATCAAATTAAGATTTTGTACTTTTTATCTTGTTATCTTGTATTTTATGTAGACATGCTAGCGTCTAATGTCTTAATGTTGTATTTCTAATCAAATTTGTCATTTTCATTTTTGATCAGTTTAATCAAAATCAGCGATGAGTACGACTAGAGTGACTTGATATTATGTACCAGCCAAATAACTTCCTCTTTTACTAAAAGAAGTATAAGAGGGGTGATCAATAAGTAATGGACTCTTTTTTACACCGATGCTTTTTATCGACCAATCTCTTCGATTTTCTTACCAGTGATACATCATTCAATTATCTATCAACTCTGAGGATTTGAAAACAAAACATGTAATGTACAGGGTGGGCCAAAAAATTTTGCAACTTTTTTAAAAGGCTAGAAAAGTATCAAAACATAAGGGTATTGCCATAAAAAATTATTTACAGAAACTTGAGGATAGGCATATTTTACCAGTCAAATGCTAAAGCTAAAACTGGCTTAAATTTTCTTTGTCAGATCTTTGAATATCAATGGTCAATTGTTCATGTGTCCGAGATTTTCCATTTTTCCTAGAAAATGTGACTTTCTATGATTTTATGTGATCAACAATAACACATTCATAATGTTCACTAAATCTGCTACAATCTTTGATAACTGTTTAAACAATGCCTACCTCAATGTCTAGTTTATATCAGTATCTAGTCACTATGGTATTATGTTATATTGTATTTATTAATTATCTATTAAACAAATGTTCTATGCATCCCCTTTCACCTTCCCTATCGCTCCCAGCCATCGGGCAAAAGTCACTTTGGAATATCTGGAGGAGAGTAAGCCTTTATTCATTACTCCTGATGAATGGCTGCCAAATACCCCAGATGCCAACTCCTGTGACTATCACTATTGGGGGCACCTGGAGCAGCTTATTGCAGTTAATGGTAATCCCCCACAAACTATTTTTAAACTACAATAAGTTCTGCAAAAGAAGTGGAGAGAACTACCACAATAATCGCTGGATCGCACCATTGACCAATTCCGCCCATGTCTCCTTGCGCACTGTAGAGAAGGTGAAAGGTGGATGCATAAAATTTGTTTAATAAATAATCAATAGATACATAATATCATAGTGACTAGATGCTGATATAAACTGTACTAGACATTGGTTGAACAGTTATCCAAGATTGTAACAGATTTAGTGAACATAATGAATCTGTTATTGTTGATCACATAAATGAAACATTTTCTAGGAAAAACGGTAAATCTCGGACACATGAACAATAGACCATTGATATTCAAAGATCTGATAAAAAAATTGAAGTCCAGTTTAGCTTTAGTATTTAAATGGTAAAATATGCCTGTCCTTAAGTTTCTGCAAATAATTTTTTATGGCAATACCTTTATGTTTTGATACTTTTCTAGCCTTTTAAAAAGTTGCAAAATATTTTGGCCCACCCTGTATTTTTATATATCTTTATTTCCATGAAGGATGTATAGGTACCCCGGGACCGACATGACGTCAAACATTCTGAAGCTATTTTAGCTTGTTTAACATACAATGCAGTTGAATGCAGACTGAACAAAACAAACCATTATGGTCATGAATTACCCCATTTTGTTATGCCATAGTTGATTTCGAATATTATATCATCACTATGTGGTATTGATCATGCCAAATTCATTCTACAGGGCCCTCTACATAGGTTCCATCAAGTGCTACATGTACACAATTCCTCATCCTCTTAACTCAAGATTGTAAGACAAGGCTGAATGCATTCTCTGACATGGTAGCAAGATGCAGTTGCAAGGGTTGTCTTATTTCATCAATGTCAATAAACCTGCGTCCTTTCTCTATAGAAATAAGTAGTATAGAAATTAATAAGTCAAATGTGACCAGATCCGGACAATATAGTCTAATATGGTGAATTAGCCAAGAGCTCAATTTTGAGGTCCAGGGATATTGTTTTCTGAACATTTTGAGATATGTGGGCAGGTGCATTGTCCATATGGAGTAGGGTGTTCCCTTCTCTCACCACCCCTTTCTTCCACAATGCTTTCTCAAATTGACCTGCAAACCCCTTCCATACAACACTCTGATATCACAATACTTTCTGTTTATGTGTAACCAGTCAGCAAAATATTTCAAACAACACAACACTTGTTGCATATAAAAAGTTCAAATCTAACTGAAATTTGCCGAACTAGCTAAAAACTGAATATGTGACGTTAATGTCGGTCCCGGGGTACCTGTACCTCCTTCATGGAAATAAGGATATATCAACATGTATTATATATTTTGTTTTCAAATCTTCAGAATTGATAGATAATTGAATGATGTATCACTGGTAGGAAAATCAAAGGGATTGGTCTATAGATAGTACCTGTGTAAAAAAGCGTCCATTACTTATTGATCACCCCTCGTTTGTAAATATTAAAGGCATCCTCATTTTTAGTATAATATGATATAACAGAGAAATATGCTGTTCAATATTCGACACAAAGAGCACCTTTAGCCTACATTAGCGCCCTTTACTTTATTTTTGACATTATGTTGTTTTTGTTACAGGGGGATAAATGGTCTGATGAGGCAATAGATGAATTTACAAAGGCAACTGTTGAGCAGGAGCTGATCATTGAAATTATAGACATTGAGGGTAAGTGGGTTATTGATAAGATAGTAATTAACACATAATTGCAGAATTCTATTCCATTATTGATAAGTTAAATCAGAATTTCATGTATAGAACTGAAACGCATATAAAGGACACATTTCTTGTAACAAAGGAGTACTTTTCATGTCACAATCCTTTTACAAGTGCATTTGTATGGTGACAGCTGTGTATATCTGGTATGATAATTTCAGAGATTTCCTATGTATTAATGGTATATTTTAGTGTAACTTTAGCACAATTATGATTTGATAAAAGAGCACTTGTGTGATAATAACCCATAAGTAATCTCAGTCATAAACAAAATATTTGTTATTTCTTGTATAGATGGCGTGTGTGTAGTTGAGATGTATTTACCAGACTCCGATACATACATCAGTGATTTACTTCATGAAAAAGGTTATGCTGTCAGAACTAAAGAGGTCACTTTACAAGAACCAGGTGAGACTTAATAGCCACATTGAAATACTGTAAATTGCAAGCTCTTGGGAGTTTTTAACCCTGGGTTTTTAACTATGTTTACCACTCACTTCCTACCTGACCTTCAGTGTAGATTTCCAGTAGAATATGTTTGTAAACTACAAAGTCCCAACAATTTTATAATGAAGTAAAATGTGGTTAATTTATTGGAAGGTTGCTTTTAGAACGTACCAACACTCCATAAACTTAAATTGCCTATGATTAATATTGATATTATTACTTTAACACCCATTGGATATATGGATAACTGGATCACTATAATGTCACTGGTTGTGTTTGATTGTAGCTCCACTAAAGCTCCCTGAAGACAACATGTGGGACGTCTATGTCACCTATATATCCAATCCCACCAGTATTATGATCAGACTCATTGGAGAAGAATATTCAGTAAGTTGATAAATTCAGCATTATCTAGTTTTGCATGGGTACCCCCCTCCCCTAAACTTATCAAAAAACTTGTTTTGTTATGATATTCATAGATATATAGATAAGTAAAGTTGTTCAAGAGTATCTCTTTCATGTACATGTAGTACATTACCCATCTAACTGTGCCCTCATTTCAAGGGCATTCAAGATCATTTCAAGGATTTTGAGTAAGCTCTGAATTCTGTTTTCAAATAATTTCCTAAAATGTATGCTTTTATTACTGTCTTATATTAGGACAATGGTTATTTATTGCAAATTGAAATCCTGTGGAATAGGCATTTTCCATCCAGCATTAATTAAACCTGCAGAGTGTAATTATGGTATATTTGCAGGACAAACTGAGCACTCTTGAGGAAGAGATGGATGCATACTATGCCAAGAACCCCCATGAGAAACTCACGAATCCACCAGAAGTTGGCAATGTATACACATTCTTTGATGAGGACAGCTTATACAGAGTACGGGTCCTCAAGAGCCCAACTGATGAGGTAAGAATGATGAGGTGGATGTGAACATGAGGTTAACTTTTACATGCGGTTAAGTTTTACATGAGGTTTACACAAGGCTGAGGTTAACATAATGTTAAAATTTACTGTATTTGAATATCAGTTTTCCATGCTGTGGTCTAAAATGTGGATGATATGTCAGGTGTGTTTCACTATGTATACTAATAATATGTACATGACACAGTTTGGTCTATAATGTGTTCTATATTACAGTAGAACCTGTGTAAGTGGAACACCCTCTGTTCTGCCAAATAGCATTCTACTTTGGAGGTGTTCCACTGACGGAGGTTTTGGGTTTGTACTTGATGTGTTATATCATTATTTGATGTGGTCTGTACTACAAGTTATGTTTTATGTTACAGGGGGTACAGTGTTTTTTCTTAGACCATGGTGACACAGACTATGTTGAACTGAAAGAATTCTATCACATGAAACCAGAATTCCTCAAGCTGCCATATCAGGTATTTCTGCATCCTTGCATCAAAACTCTTCTTTAACTGTCAACTGTCAATATGTCTTGTACATGTACGTATCTTTATTTCTTCTCTAGAGCATGGATCAACTGTGTTGCTTTTAAAATTATTCTAAAACTTGCCCCGACATGTGTATTTGAATTGTATGGATGTACTGTTTGCATGTACATGTTCAATACTGTACAGGGTGAGCCATTTTATTTTGCTTTTTCTAAACTGATGTAAGTATGGTCTCATCCTCTTAAATGAATTTATGTATGTCCTTTACATGTACTTTATGTTTGGCTTGATATTGTAAACTGTTATAAGTCTTGAATCCTCCATGAGTCAGTATTCTGACATGTTGTTTTCACAGGCGAAAGAGTGCAGTCTTTGTGGCCTAAATCAACTTACCAACAATGAGAAAGTCTTAGACAAACTAATCAGTATGGCCCTTGCTAAATGCTGCATTGCTGAAGTGGTGGAACGGTAGGTATCATTTGCCCTATTTGAAATTACTCATTTCTGAAAACCCCAATGTTTAATATAGATATGAAAGCACAGTGTTTTAAGAGGACAGATCAAAGAGTAATTATGAAACAGGCCAAGTAAAGGAAACACCTAAGAGCACAAACTGTCATCCAGAAGACAAAGCATTGAGCTTATTTCTGGGAAGCACCCTGTAATAGGGTAAAGTAAAATAATGCTTTTTGCAACAATGCTGAAATGTATTTAAACTAGAAAAAACTATTGATATGACAAAATGGCAAATCGGAGAGTGTTATTTCAATGAGGTGAATAATATTTTATTTACTACATAAGGATGAGCAAATATCTCTGAGGCACTCACTCATAAGAAAGAGCACGGCTGAAAAAAAACTGCTTTTTGCAACAATACTGAAATGTATTTAAACTAGAAAAACTATTGATATGACAAAATGGCAAATCGGAGAGTGTTATTTCAATGAGGTGAATAATATTTTATTTATGACATAAGGATGAGCAAATATCTCTGAGGCACTCACTCCTAAGAAAAACAAACTATTGATATGACAAAATAACCAAACAGAAAGTATGATTAATATTTTATTTCTTGCATAGGGGTGAGCGTATTTCTGTGAAGCTCTTTGATACATCAGGAGAAGAAGATATATACATCAATGATGCAGTCACTGTTGATGTTCTTGATACAGACCTCGCACCACAAATACCAGAGGTAATTAAAGTGACAATGCTAGCTGAATGCTAAGTAACTGATATCTCAGATTTAAACATGATATATATTACCAGAGTGATGAATTTACACAGAAATGAAATATAGTTTTTGTCATTTACAGGGTGTCTCGAAAGTATGGGGCCCTTCTAGACAGGCATATAGCAGTGTCTTCATAGAATGCGTCATATGTCATTTTAAAACCTATCCAAAGTTACATTGATTCACCAAGTGTCATGGTTCAACTCTGAAATGTGAAAAAATTACAGGCATTTCAAAATTTAGTGTTTGGCCAAAATTAAGTTCAATTTTACACCAAATTACTCGTTAATGTGTCCTCCCGAGCCATCAGAACAGCAGCAATTCTTTTCGGGTCAGATGGATATTGATTTGGAAAAAGAGAACGGTGAGGGTAGAAACTCTAAGGAAACTCTCCTAAAGTGCTGTAAAAGGTTTTAAGAGGAAAAATTCCACACCCCTTCTATTTGAAGGGCTTTTAAGGTCATATCTGAAAAGAATTGATGCTTTATTTTGGCCAAACACTTAATTTTAAAATTACTGCAACTTTTTCCCATTTGAGAGTTGAACTTAACCATAATACTTGGAAAATCAATGTAACTTTGGATAAGCTTTAAAATGATATATGACACTTACTATGATCACTGATCATGATTACTTTCTGATTATTGTTATAAGACCATTATTGCAGAGTAGCTAGAGCAAGTGACATTTTTGGCAATAAGATATACGGTCACCTATTTCCCATAAATTATAGAATCGAGTTCTTTGTTATATTCCAGTATGATAAACATTAACCAGAAAAACAACTATTTGCATCTATGAAATTTGATTAATTGGTTTGTCATACATACCCCATTATAGACAAGCAAAACAATTTTTATTGTGATGTCACATAGCATCGTTTATATTCCTTAGGTTGGTGGTGTTATTGAAGGCTATGTTAGCTACATGACAGAGAATGGTCTCTTATATTTCCAAATTATCGGGCCTGGCTTAGACCGTTTGGAGGAACTGATGGTGAAGATCACAGACCATTATTCAAAGGTAAGTTTATAATTAAGAATGTCAGTTAAAACATTTTTATTATTGTGTTACTTTGAATTTTCTGAATTGGAAGTTAAAAATTAAACTGAAAACCTATTAATCCCCAATAGAACTATTTAAACTATTTTTAATTTTAAAATCCTTGGTTATCTATGGTGATCAGTTCTTACTTCAGTTCATGGAGTGACTTTATTGAATGTTTTTCATCATAACATATCATTAGCATGTGCATGTACATCAGTTTTAATGTTGTGACTTTTGTACATGTTGAAGCAGAATCGTCAAAGCAAAGGGAGTATGGTCAGTAAATGGTGATAGGGACTTCTTAATCATTATTTCAGTTCCTAGATAATTATTTAATCAGATGTATAATATAATATTAATTGGTAAAGGAATGTTATGTTCTTTTATGCTGGTAGTAGGAAAACAAGCCATTTGCAAATGTTTTGATTCCTTTGAATGCAATGATTTGGTGTACTACCTTATATTAAGCATTACACTAAATACAGTTACAGATGCTGCACATATGTTTATGTTGGTTGAATGTTAATGTTGATTTAAAGCTTGTTGCTGTTCAGTTAGAGCTCTGCTTATTTATAACAGCTTCTACTGAAACTGAATTACGGGTTTAAGGGACTAGAATGGATAGAGACTAACTTGGAGAGTTTCGAAAAATGTTCTCAATTCTGTCTTTATTTCAGGATAATTTGTCAAAGACCCCCTTTTTGATTTGAATGAATTTGAACATTCCTGCACCTTAAACCTTAAATAATTTCTATATAAGATCAGGTATATCTTATCTTTATTTCTCTTTTCATAGCTTTAAATCAGGATTTTTAGGAAAGCTTTGGCATGATTTTTTTTTGAAAAGATGACTATGTTTTCAACAATTTACATTCTCTATCCATTCTAATTCATTTAAAGCCTCAATAGCACATTTTGACTCTCAAGTAAACATTTCTTGAACATCTGAGACATTTCAATGATGAAGCTTGTCATAAAAATATAAATAACTTTTGTAGATAGCCATACAATATGCTTAAAAATTTAATGTCAGTACCTTCTCTTTAAACCTTGGATATCCAGAGTACACCACCTTACCCTGTCGATAATACCCAAACTTTATCCACTTCTTCATCCATATCATAAGCTCCACACTTGTTCACTTATAAACTTATAAACACATCCATGAAGAACACAAAGATCCATTTTGTAGAATACCCTTTTATTTGTCCACTTCACCATCTGTCTTGCCATTTACATTCTATGTACTGTTATAAAGATAAATGCTTAGGGAGACGTGCAAAAAGCACGATCATGTCCACATAAATAAGACATTTGCTTTTTGTTGGTTATTGTACTATATGTTCTAACAGTAAGATTTTATCCTTTCATTATCTGATCTGATATTGATGTCTCTCTTAACAAAATAAGATTCAGAATAATTTTTAAGGCATGGAATCTTCTCACAAACTGATGATGTCACAACATGAAATCTACACAGAAACTGATGATATCACACTATAGAATAGACACATAAACTGATGATGTCACAACCTCTTACATAAATGATGCTGTATGTTTCTATGTTTGTATTCCAATAGCATACAGCTGCCAGTGAGTTTGTGTCTAACCCACAAGTGAACCAGATTTGCTGTGCCAAATACAGCTTGGATAACAACTGGTACAGAGCCAAGATAACAGAACTACTGCCTGATAGACAAGTAAGTGGCTTCTATGGAGCTTTTCTAAAAAAATATTGTGAACTAAAATTGATAAGTTGTTTGATATTGCTCAGGCCCGTAACCAGGTTAAGGGGTGCAAACCAACCCCAAGACAAATGATGTGATTTAAAAATGATTTTTGTGATGATAATAAATCAAATAGTTTTTAATCTTGCAAATCCTAGAAAAATTCTACAGCCCTTAGTGCCGATCTTAATTTACCCATTTTTTGGATTTAATGATTTGTCTGTTATAGGTTGCTGTTCACTTTGTTGACTATGGTAACTCAGATATTGTCCCATATCACGCACTTAGAGAGATGACTGAAGAAAATGGCCACCTGAAGACGCTGCCTTTCCAGGTATGATATTACATGTATTATTATTGTTTTCTTTTATGATTATTACAAATTTCCAAAAAATACATTGCACAAAATATGCCACAGATTCAGTGCATTCCTGAGGTATTATGGCTCATTGAGGGAATAGCGCGTGTTACCCCATTGGCAGACTGAATGTACAAATACAATTTTTTTCTAGATCCAAGCTTTTCTTTGTTAGACTATTTGTAATTTTTCAAAATATTTTCGATATATACATGGCATTCAATAATTGCTGTTTTCATTACTCTTCTTTTCATTGCATTTTCTAGGCTGTTCCATTCACTTTGCATGGATTGCCCCCCTCTGGTGGAGTGTGGTCAGAGGAAGCTATATGTAGGGTAGAAGGTCTCACCCCTAGTGAAGATGTCCTAACATTACAGGTACACTGAAAACTAATCAGTTCTCTAATATCTATGAAAATACTTAATTTGATTAAACTTTAACCTTTTAAATGAAGATTTAAATTAAAGAAAAAAATTTAAATATTTTTTGTTTGATACAATTTTACAGAAATTATGAATATCACTGAACAAATCATGTTTGAATGAACAAATGGTTATTACAGGGGGATGCCAAATGGGACTGAAATGTTTAAAAAAGCATATTTAGGCTGCCAAGAGAGCCAGATGAGATTTCAAACGTCACATCATTTTGTGAAGAACAAAGGCCAACTTGATTATAGAACGAATTTGAACATAACATAGCGTGGGTGATAATTGGATAATCCATTCATTGATTTAAGGTTTAACAAAGAAGAAAAGCAGAATTTGATTCTTTATTCAACAATTATGTAAATCGAATTGAATAAGGTGTGCCAAAAATTTAATCATAGCATATGTTTTTCTCTAGGTTGTTGCTAGTGCAGAAGAGAAGACTCGACCTATGTCAGCCATGCTGTTTGTAATTGAAGGAGAACAGAAGATTTCACTCTTAGAGATCCTCTCCAATGAACCACAGCTATTCATGTAAGATTATTACATTTATCTTTGCTAGTACTATATTTATTGCTGTATTGATTGAAATTGAAGAAAACTTGAATAAGTAGAAACGTTGTAATTGTGTGACTGTTCTTGTTGGCATAAATGTAACAAACAAGGTGTTGCAAAATATTCTTACAGAATAGGCACGATCCTTGTAAAAATGTTCTATGACAACAAGCATCAGTTGGTTTGACTCTCATTATACATTGTACTTCATTACACTTGTTGTTATGTCACTACCAACAGAAGTTGTAACATATTGTAATAGTCTCCAACTTTTTTGTGGACAGTGTTTTGCATTTTTAATGGCTGTTTGTGTTTGGTGTCTGTAACAAATTTGTATGGTGTCGTACAGTGCCTGTAACAAATGGCAGGTAGATGTTCTGCATAATGCCTTGTTGTTTTTGTTGGTATCCCTGTGGTGATTTTATGTCACCTGATAGTCTCTTTGTGCTGGACTACACTGAGCCTGTAACATCAAACATAAACACCAATTGATGTTTCTTTCAGGCCCCCTGTTCCTTCAGATAACAATCCAATAGATGATATATCCAATGAAATGGCTCACAATTTACACCTTGACACTGTTGACTCCCCAGTACTTACCCCTGAACCCCCTGGCCCAGATGGTGATGGAATAAAGAACAAACAAAAACAGAATCCTAGTCGATATATTGCAAGTATGCCTGGTTCTTGCGATGACAATGACAATGTGACAAGTGAAATTATAGAACTGGACCATAGTGCAACAAATGATACCATTGAAGTTATTAGTCTAAACTCAAGTGCATCAGATAAGGATGAGTCTGTGATATTTATTGAGGAGAGACCTCCATCTAATGAGGCTAGAACTGTGACTCCTACATGTATTATAGAAAAATCTCCACCTCTTGATACTACGCCTGATAAAGCTACATGTATGGGTGCCAATATAATTAAATTATCCATACCCATGCGTAGCGGGGAGATCCCTATCAAAGGAAAATCAGACATATCTGGGGAAATCAATAGTTTACCAGTACCACCTAAGCTGGTGCTGCCACCTCCTGGTGAATACTGGGACTGCAATGTTACTTATGTTTGTGATCCTTCAAATTTTATAGTAAGTGTATTATTTTTTGGTTGATAATAGTGAATTTTTTAAATTTTGAAATAAAAAATATGATGATTTTTAATTGCTTAATCAAAGGCTGGTATCGAAAGATTTGTCCGCTGTGACGGAGCATGTTATTTTTCATAAAAACACTAAGAAAACCACACAAATTATTTTTAACTTTAATATGTTTTTTTATACCAAAGAAAAATACTTACTCCATGCAATGGATCTTGCGGGTAACTCTCACTTCTGTTTGAAGTTTGAAGAAATAACACTGGGAGGAAAAGCTATTGAAAGTGGGGCCGGAGTATCATACTCCAAAATATACCATTTCTTGTTTAACTTTTTAATGGCACGATATATAGTGACACAACAGTATTTACATGTTTTCAGCATAACTATGAAGGTATAAATGAGATATTGATGTATTGGGTCTTTTTAATTCTTTTATAAGAAATAATGTTCACATTTTTTTGTCCGCTGTGATGGAGCAGTTGCAAATGTGAACTATGAAACTGCTCCGTCACTGCGGACAAAAAAATGTAAAAATTATTTTTTATAAAAAAACTAAAAACACCCAATACATCAATAACTCATTAACCCTTTCCCGACGTGAATATAAGAGGAAAATGTTGGCTCTGGTGACGGATAAGTAAGAGCAGTTTTTAGGGGAAAACTGCAAAATACCTACGCCCCGGGACCTATACCCTGAATTTTATCACTGAAATACAATTTTTAGTAAGGATTATCACATTAGAACAACTTGTCAAAATTTGGTGTAAAAATACTGAATAGAACTGGAGATATTGTCATTTCATTGATGTATTTAGATAAAAATAATGGTGCCAAAAGGAGCCTATCGTCCTGAAAGGTATTACATAATAGGGCTCCATATGGAGCCTATCGTTGTGAAAGGGTTAATACATTCAGAGTTATGCTGAAAACATAATTATGTTAATATTATTGTGTCTTATTATGCCATTAAAAAGTTTAAAAAGAAATGGTACATTTTAGAGTTCGATACTCTGGCGCCGTTTTCAATAGCTTTTACTCCTAGCGTTATTGGACTTCAAACAGAAGTGAAGGTTACCCGCAAATGATATATCCATTGCTTAGAGTAAGTAATTTTCTTTGATATAACTAAACATATGAGTTAAAAAATAAATTGTGAAGTATTCTTAGTGTTTTTATGAAAAATAGCATGCTCCGTCACAGCGAACAAATTTTTCGTTGCCAGCCTCATGTTAATGTAGAACTGACTACACTACTAGAGGGAATATGCACAAAATGGTTTAAACCAGGAAAGTTCAATTCAAATAAATTTCACATATGAATTCATGTTTGTTTTAGTGCATACCATTTGAGAGCATGTCTGACCTAACAGTGATGATGAAGGGTCTCAGTGATTACTATAGCAACCCAAGTGACCTCACAATGGGGGAACTCCAAGTGGGTCAACTCTGTGCTGCGTTCTATGAGAACCTCTGGTACAGGGCTACCATACATGCAGTCCTTGGCAATATGAAGCAGGTAATGGCTTACTTATATGGGTACACATATAGAGGATATTCTTGGGGGGGATTGTATATTGGGTTTATCTTGATGAAATGTTATCTTATTCATGGTAAAATTCTTGTGATCTGATTGCAGTCTACATTGGTGTCTGTCTACTTTGTGGACTATGGTGACTTTGGAGTTGTACCAAAGAAACACTTGAAACCCCTGGTGACTCAATTCAGGCAGCTACCATATCAAGCAACAAGAGTACAGTTGCAAGGTGAGTAGCTTGAGTTTTACCAATGTAAGAGTACAGTCGCAAGGTGAGTAGCTTGAATTTACCCAAGAGCACAGCTGCAAGGTGAGTAGCTTGAATTTACCCAATCGTAGTGTTGTCGCGATTAATCGATACATCGCGATATACATCGCCAAAACTGATTCTGGCGATGCATCGATGTCTGAAACAAAACATCGATGTTTTTAAAAAAAATTAATTTGCGATAAATCACCCTTTCTTATCTTATTTTGACGCAAATCGCTTACCTTTCTCATGACTTATTTCATTTTCCAATGTTTTCTGATGTTCTTTCCCTTTAAAACTGTTTTCGCTAGTCGAAATGAACCATTAATCTAAAAAATTACTTTCATTTTGTTATTAGAAGTTCCCGGATGTACCACGCACTCTTATTATCCCACCGAACGAAGTTCGAGGGGGATATAGAAAAGCCGTCCATAAATTCGTATACTAAGAAAGCTATAACAAGAAATAAATGGATATGTACTAAATACAATATGCAGGAGAATATCATCATGAAGCACTGGAAAATTAACGAGAGAAGAGAACATTAACAAATGAATATGAAACAGTATATTCTCCGCAAAGAGGGTAAACTAAGAGGACAAATCAACATAAGACCAACAGTAAGGGGAAGGGGAGAGTTTTCCGGCCGGATTAAAACGTTTAACCCACCTATGCGCAGTCTCAAGTCTGTGGACCCTGAAGAAAGATAACTAACATCGCAATCAAATCAAGACAAAGAAAGAAGAAAATAAATGAAGAAACCAATGCAGCAAAAACAAATGACGTCCGTCCGTTCGTCCGTCCGTCCGTTCGTGTGTCCGGGCAATAACTCAAATACCGGTTGACGGATTTCATTCAAATTTTATAGGCTTATGCCTTATGGGTGTAGGACCTCTGCTCGAGAAGGAATTTTCAATATGGCCGCTTAATTCAAAATGGCGGCCATTTTTCGGAAAAAATATAATCTTTATTAACTCAAATACTAGTGGATGGATTTGGATCAAATTTTATATGCTGTTGCATTGGTACAAAGGAGCTTTGCTCAAGAAGACATTTTCAAGATGGCCACCAAATTTCAAAATGGCGGCCATTTTTCGTAAAAAAACGTTATCTTTGATAACTCAAAGACCATAAAATGGATTTGGTTCAAATTTTAGATGCTGATGCCTATGGAGTATGGACATTGGAGCTCTGCTCAAGAAAGGATTTTCAAGATGGCAGCTAAATTTCAAAATGGCTGCCATTTTTCATAAAAGAACGTAACCTTTGATAACTCAAATACCAGTTGACGGATTTGGTTCAAATTCTATATGCTGATGCCTAGAGACAAAGAAGTTCTGCTCAAAAATAAATTTTCAAGATGGCCACTGAATTTCAAAATGGCCGCCATTTTTCGTAAAAAACGTAATTAATGATAACTCAAATACTAGTGGATGGATTTGGTTCCAATTTTATATGCTGATGTTTAGGGGAAAAGGAGATCTGCTTCTGAAGAAATTTCAAAGGCGATAGCTGAATTTCAAAATGGCTGCCATTTTTCATTAAAAAAGTAATCTTTGATAACCCAGATACCATTGGACGGACATTCTCTGCTAAAGAAGAAATCTAAAGATGACAGCTGAATTTCAAAATGGCAACCATGTTTCATAAAGACATAATCTTTGATAATTCAAATACCAGTGGATGAATCTGGCTCAATTTTTTTATCAAAACATGTTTTGTTCGGTGGGATTTGCTACTCCGTGGAGTTGCTGTTTTTCTAGTTAATTGTTCTGTTCGGTATTTTAGTGCATTAGCGTTCGGTATTTCAGTGCAACTTGCTCGGACTTTTTCTCGATGTACATCGCGATGTCCATCGATGTTTACTACTGAAAATTGCCGATGCATCGATGTATGATAATGGCACATCGCGACAACACTAACCCAATGTAAGGGTACAGCTTCAAGGTGAGTAGCTTGAATTTACCCAATGTAAGGGTACAGCTGCAAGGTGAGTAGCTTGAATTTACCCAATGTAAGGGTACAACTGCAAGGTGAGTAGCTTGAATTTCCCTAAGAGCACAGCTGCAAGGTGAGTAGCTTGAATTTCCCCAATGTAAGAGCACAGCTGAAAGGCGAATACAATGTAATTTGAATTTCACCAATGTCAGACTACAGCTGCGAGTGGTGTATATTGAATTTCCCCAATGTTAGAGTACAGCTGTAAGGCAAGTATCTTGAATTTCCCCTAATTTTCCTTAATCTGTCAATGACTTAGTTTATCTGTTCAAATGAAATCAAAGTTTCGTAGTTTTTCTGAATTTTCTACTACTACTAGCAGAAAATATTCAGAATGGAAAAGATTTTAAATATGATTTGCACGCCCAGTGATCGTGAATTTGGGATGGAGGGGGGAGCAGGCAATTTCTGCTAGGAAATTCAACAAATCTGGAAGATTTATTTTTTCAAGAAAAAGTTTACTATTGAATTGGTAAATGGATAGGTGCACGGTATGGTAAAATATGTTAGGTTTTCTGGGATTTTTTCTGAAACACTACGCATCTAAGGTATGAGATCTATTAAAAAAGGCGCAAGGCCATCAACAGGCACAAATCAACGTTTTTGCTATAAATCAAGCAACAATGGTCTGGACGACCTGTAATAAATACTTGTAAGTGATTTTATCATAACTAAATTAATGTCATTGCTGAATTTATAAAATAAGTTTCCATATGTGAAATAAAAAATAATCGAAAATAATGAATTTGGGACGGAGGGGGGGGAGGGGACGGAGGGGGGAGCAATATGTATATAAGACATGATTAGAGATGTTTCGCGACTTTAAGTCCTTTTACTCCAAATGTCCCCATTTTTCAGTCTCCAGGGGTAGTGGTGTCAATTAACCGCTTGAGCATTAACCGGTTAACCGGGGGTTTTTACCAGTTAAAGTCTGTTAACCGGTGGGAAATTTGAACTTATAATTTCAAATGAAATCTTCATCTTCGATCTTGAAAGTTGAAAAAATTGGAAAAATGATATATCGGCATTTATTTTTTACGTTCGTCAAGCTTTACGCTATTCTATGTAAGTAAGCGCGGGAAAGCAATGTGGCAGGGATTAAAGTTGCTGATTGGATGTTTGTAAGGAATTATTGGACCTATCACATGTATGAGTAGCTCACATGAAACTGACGCTTGAAAAACAAACAGATTAAAATGCAAAGTAAGCGCGGGAAAGCAATGTGGCAGGGATTAAAGTTGCTGATTGGATGTTTGTAAGGAGTTATGGGACTTATGACATGTATGAGTAGCTTACGTGAAACTGACACCATAAAACCAAACGGATTAGCATGCAAAATAAGCGCAGGAAATAACAGAATTATACACGGTCAACTAACCGCCCATAAAAACTCAGACCGGTCAAGGCATTATCGGCGGTTAACCGGTTAACCGGTTAATACTTGACACCTCTATCCAGGGGTATATCATCCAGTTTCTTACTAAGTTAATGAGTTCATTTTTCAAATACAAGAATTCGTGTGAAGTTGTTTCACTTTATAGAATTATTACTCCCCCCTCTGTCCCCTCCCCCCCCCCCCTCCGTCCCATTTTAATTATTTTTGATTATATTTTATTTTACATATGGAAACTTATTTTATAAATTCAGCAATGACATTAATTTAGTTATGATAACATCACTTACAAGTATTTATTACAGGTCGTGTAGTCCATTGTTGCTTGATTTATAGCAAAAACTTTGACTTTTGCACGTTGGTTGCGTTGCACCTTTTTTAATAGATCTTATATCTTAAAAGAGTATCGGTTGAAAAATAATCCTAGAATACCTTACATATTTTATCATACCGTGCGCTTATTCAATTTGCAATTCAATCGTAAACTCCGTCTTGAAAAAATAATTTTACCAGATTTGTTGAATTTTCTAGCGGAAATTGCCTGCTCCCCCCCTCCGTCCCATTTTCACGATCACCGGGCGTGATTTGGGAAATGTATATATTTTTTAATTAAAAGGAATGCTACTTATTTTGTTTCTAGTTTTCACTTTGTATGATTTCTGTAATATTATTGAATACCAGTAGCTATTCTCATTATTATTTAGCAAGTTTACAATATTTCCTTGACTGCACTTTGTGGATCAATAGAACCAAATGCAGATAGGGATGGCTTTCTTTAAATTCAGTAGTTGTTTTAATTTTAAATAGATCACATTGACCTTTATATGTTAATCAAATATTTTTTTCATATGTGTACAAAATTGAAGTCTTCAAACATTCTTATAAAAATATATATTCAGATTCTGAGGAAAATGAAATTCAAGATCAGCTCATCAAGCTAAAATTAACTTTCTCCCTGATATAGCTCATGATTTGATTGACAGGTCTATTTTTGCACTTTCCATATTTGGGTGAAATTGATGACCTGTGTTATAAATTCAAGGTCAGGCTGATCTGGTCACTCTCTAAGGCAATTTTAAAACTACTTTTGACGGAAATTCATCAATTCTATCTTCATATTTCTAAGTTATAACACATTTATAGAAAAATTGTTCTTTCAAAACATTCTTAAATTTCTTTTATCAGCTTATATGTGAAGTTTTAGTTCCAATAATTTCATTTTGAAATGAGATTTTTGTTGCATTCTATGGGACTGTTTTGTGAAAGAATAACAAACTTTCATTCTCTTTACATCTACAAGGTTTCAATTGATTTTATTGTCTGATGGGATTAAATCACAAAAGATATTTACCTTGGTTCATGCATTTTAGAGCTTCTTTTTTCAAAATGGTACCATTTTGTTTGACATTTTTTGCTATATCTTGAATACTGCTAGGCAGATTTTGGTCAGATTTGAAATGTAATTGGATAGAATATTATATCAGACATTGGAACTCTGTAGTCATACTATAATATACACTATTGACTTTCTTTTATTCCAGGAATTAAGCCAGTTACAGGAGACACATGGACTGAGGAGTCCAAGATGAGATTTCAAGATATCGTTATGGAAAAGGACTTTGTTGCGTTAATCAAAAAGTTTCCATCCGATGAACCAGAAGACAATAAAGTTCCTAAAGTCTCCGTCCAACTTATCGACACGAGTGGAGACTCTGATATCATCATACACAATATTTTAGTTGAGGAAGGATATGCTGTGCTATCATAGTGAAGGAAACAGAAAGTCTTAACTCTAGTCTCAAAACTGAGACAATATGTTTAACCTGATATGTCAGAGGAATTATTCTATATGTGTAATAAGAAGACTAGTTGATGTATATGTGAAGCTTTTGTGGTCATGTTAAATAATTATCAGAGGTTTCTGATCTGAAATCCAAAGATCATGAATACACATTATATTATAAGAAAATAATTATTCATTGTTAAAATGAATTATAAACAATTTCTACACTTAAAGTGTAAATCGTAAATAGCAATATGCAATAATAATGCTACATATTATTGTATACTAGGGAGTTTGCCTTGTGTGCACTATTCTATTACAGTATTGTAACCTAAGTTAAAACCTAAATTGTATTCAGATCCCAAGAGACTGACTGATAAAGCAGTTATAAAACTGTTTTTGATTGATTTATCATAAAATCAAAATTCATCGATTTATTATTACGACACGAGTGGAGACTGATATTATCTCTAATATTATTAAACCAAAATTCATCACTGTCTTGTATAAATGGTAAAAACCATCATATTTGCACAAATGATCATCACTATGTGTTTGATTAAAAATCAATTTGAAATAAATATATTTCATTTTATATATCAATTTAATTCAGTTTTTCTTGATGTGCGTATTACTTACTATTGACAAGGATACTAGGAATGTATTGTAGTACATTAGAGATTATAGAGATTATTGGGGTGTAATATAGATGTCACTGATTTATCAATTGGGTTGAGAAAACACAAGGTCAATATCTGAACAACAAACTAAACAATCCCTTAAAATCATGGTCGACCAGTATTGAATGTCTTGAAAGAGTATTGGCCTATTTTGTGTATATGGTCTTACTAAAGTTCTTTGACATCTTGTTTTAATAGTTCACAAATATAGATGAAAAGTATAAATTCAATTGTTTTTATTTCATAGACAAAAGAACGGGTAAGATTATTGATGTTACTACAAACAAACTTCTTAAGTCGATTATTGGAGCAGCTGAGTTTTCAGATATCCTTTCATAGAAAATCAATTCCCATTTAGATGATAAACACCAAAACACTTTAATTATTTCACAATATTTTATTTTCTTTATTTCAAACCATACACTACACTGTAAAGTTATTTTAAAATTGTGAATTTTCTTCATCTTCATAACATCATTGTGTCAAGTTGACACTCGTCATAAATTATAATGTCTACTGTAGCATTCTGATTTAACATGAGGGTACACGTTGATGCTGGCTCCATGTGGCTTTCACGCACCCCCATGTACATTCAGTATCTCAAAATCTAGTGTCAAACAAATGATCATCATTGTCACCTGTCTAAGTGGAACACTTTTGGTACCTCTTGGTTTCACACTTGGGAGGTGTTTCATTAAAAGAGGTTCGTTAACATTAAGTCAGTTGATCTTTGGACTCTGAAAAGTGCTCCACTAACAGAGGTGTTCCACTTTACAAGTTTTCGCAGGATTGTAGATTGATTATCCATGAATTGGAAATGTTTCAGCTTTCATTGTCATGAATTAAGACTAGGATCAAGGTGAACTGAGGGCACATTCGAAAGGGAGAAAAAAATTTGTCTGTCAAATCCTTAATAATAAGCAATCGAATGAGCACAGTGTGGTCAATTAAAAAGAAATTGAAAAAATTCATTTGAAAATAAAACATTCATATTTTAGATGCATAATGTGGATTTGGAAGGCATTTGTCTCCTTTCTAATTCCTTAATCTACATTCTACAATTATATTTAGAAATATCCCCATGTATATCAGATATAAAAAACAAATTGTTAGAGATTACGAATTTTCGATACAGTTACTTTGGTATATATCTTCATCAGGTAAGCCTGTTTCTTCATCAGGTTTCTTCCTCTGTTTACCTGATGAAGATATATAATATAGACATATCGAAATTTTGTAATCACTCATTAACTATGACATCACATGTATCCTATGTCACCCTATGCAGACAGAGCCTGTGGGAAATATTGGGTGCGGATCAAATGAGCGGAGGGTGCGGAGCTAACGGTCATTTTTGAATTTAAATTTGGGATATTTCTGAAACTAAGCCGTTTTGGGACTTCAAATATACCAAGATATGTGTATTTGACACCAAATATCAATACAATTGTGAAAATAGTAGCGCAATTCATTCTATAGCGACGGAGTGTGCCTTAAACCTTTCCCAGACCTATATATTTTGAAATTATCCCTTTAATACTGAGTCCCCAGCATTCATAAAAAATGGTGTTCAAGGTACACTATCTATACAAATTATTTTTGCATCTTGGAAGCCAGGCAGTATCTGTGTGATTTTATAAAAATTCGGAAATGTTTTTCAGATATGAGCCCCCTCTAAATATTGGGTGCGGAGGAGCTCCATAAACGTACCTCCGCACCCAATATTTAGAGGGGGCTCATATCTGAAGAACATTTCCGAATTTTTATAAAATCACATAGATACTGCCTGGCTTCCAAGATGCAAAAATAATTTGCATGGGTAGTGTATCTTGAACACCATTTTTTATGAATGCTGGGAACGCAGTATTAAAAGGATAGTCTCAAAATATATAGGTCTGGGAAATGTTTAAGGCATACTGCGTCGCTATAAAATGAATTGCACTACTATTTTCACAATTTTATTGATATTTGGTGTCAAATACACATATCTTGGTATATCTGAAGTCCCAAAACGGCTTAGTTTCAGAAATATCCCAATTTTAAATTCAAAAATGACCGTTAGCTCCGCACCCTCCGCTCATTTGCGCCGCACCCAATATTTCCCACAGGCTCTGTCTGCATAGGGTGTATGTGAATATTATTGATTACCAGGGAGTAGTCATTCCCTGGTATTGTTGAGGCAAAATATGGGACATCCAGAATGTCAGATATTTGATAGCATTATTCATGAATCATGAATTTATGTATATGTTTTGTATTCGGAAAATCACTTTGAATTGATGCTCCATTTGTAGCACGATTTGTACTTTTGTTGAAAACAATACATAAATCTGGTATTAAATCAATAATTCACATATTGCAGTAATGCGTGATCCTGATATCCAATAGTCATCCATGTTCACAGGTTTCCACACAGACATAGATGAATTTTTGATCACTCAGGAAATCATCATCACTTAAATAAGCATCCTGATAATAACTAAAGCATGTCAGAGGATGGAAGTTTTAATTGCATGTCACAATAGGCTATTAACTAGGGTACCATATTTGTTTCATAAGAGTAAGAGGTGGTAAAAATACCATAAGTTCCCATACATATCTCTAATACTAATCTACTAGTGTTATGATTGCTCTAGTATATCAACACAAGAATATTGATGGATACCTTGAAAATCAGTAAATAGCTGTTATTTTAATGATAAATTATACCTCCTCTTTGCTCTTAATGTATCGTAAGGTACATACCATTTATGGTGTCCATATTAAGTTGTAATACCTGTACTTGTATATTTACACCCCCAATCTGCAACATCATCTTGCAGCGCTGTAAACAGTACTGAACAGAGCTGTTTAAGCACTGCGCTGTACAGCACTGTTTCAGAAAACAGCGATGTACAGTACTGTTTTTACAATGCTGTCCAGTACTGTTTCATAAACAATGCTCTATGGTGCTGTTTGAGATTGGCAGTGTATTGATCTCAATATTGTCTTTTATTAGCTAAGCAATAGAGACAAGTTCAGTGGCTGCCTCCTTTTCTTTCCGTTTCTTCTTCTTTTTCTTCTCTTCATCAATAACAGTCTCAATAACCTCACCATTTTCCTGCTCTCCTTTCTTGTCCTTCTTCTTCTTTTTCTTCACCTTTTTCTCAGCATCTTCTTCGATGTTATTGTTATCAATTTCTATAATTTGGTATTTTTCCTCAAGTTGTTTCTTTTTCTTCTTTTCTTTCTTACTGATAGGTGGCTCTGATGGTTGTTCAGTATTTCTTGATAGAACCATGTCATCTGGGGCCTGATGAAGCTCAACTTCTGCACGATTTCTTGTCGCTGATTTTTCTCGCTTCTGGGCTATTTTTTCTTTCATTTGCTCACGCTGCCTTTCCTGCTCTTGGACAATACTGGAATTTCAAAACAGATTTAACCCTTAATATATTTTGAAATTAGTTGCATAATGTAAAATGAATAGATTGGATGAATGTGTCATCTTTTTATCATTGTTATGTCACCACCAAAAGTGGTGACATATTGTTATGGTCTCCGTTTTTTTGCGACGGCGTCCGGCGGTTGGTGGTTGGCGGTTGGCGTCCGGCGGTTGGCGTCTGTAACAATTTCTTACAACTTCCTATAACTTAACAAATACTGTTTAGACTGACTTCAATTTTTTTCTAAATCATCTACATGTTCTCAGAAGTTCAAATCTGACTTTAGATTTGACATTTGACCTTCAATGACCTTCTCAAGGTCAAAAAGGTCTTTTTTCAACTTGCTTCACATTGACTAAATTTTTTTTCAAAATCATCTACATGTTCTCAGAAATTCAAATCTGACTTTAGATTTGACATTTGACCTTCAAATCTGACTTTAGATTTGACATTTGACCTTCAATGACCTTCTCAAGGTCAAAAAAGGTCAAAAAGGTCTGTTTTCAACTTGCTTCAAATTGACTAAATTTTTTTTTCAAAATCATCTACGTGTTCTCAGAAATTCAAATCTGACTTAAGATTTGACATTTGACCTTCAATGACCTTCTCAAGGTCAAAAAAGGTCAAAAAGGTCTGTTTTCAACTTGCTTCAAATTGACTAAATTTTTTTTTCAAAATCATCTACATGTTCTCAGAAATTCAAATCTGACTTAAGATTTGACTTAAGATTTGACATTTGACCTTCAATGACCTTCTCAAGGTCAAAAAAGGTCAAAAAGGTCTGTTTCCAACTTGCTTCAAATTGACTAAAAAAAATTTTCAAAATCATCTACGTGTTCTCAGAAATTCAAATCTGACTTTAGATTTGACTTAAGATTTGACATTTGACCTTCAATGACCTTCTCAAAGTCAAAAAAGGTCAAAAAGGTCTTTTTTCAACTTGCTTCAAATTGACTAAATTTTTTTTTCAAAATCATCTACATGTTCTCAGAAATTCAAATCTGACTTTAGATTTGACATTTGACCTTCAATGACCTTCTCAATGTCAAAAAAGGTCAAAAAGGTATTTTTTCATCTTGCTTCAAATTGACTAAATTTTTTTTCAAAATCATCTACATGTTCTCAGAAATTCAAATATGACTTTAGATTTGACATTTGACCTTCAATGACCTTCTCAAGATAAAAAAAAAGGTCAAAAAGGTCTTTTTTCAACTTGCTTCAAATTGACTAATTTTTTTTTTCAAAATCATCTACATGTTCTCAGAAATTCAAATCTGACTTTAGATTTGACATTTGACCTTTAATGACCTTTTCAAGGTCAAAAAAGGTCAAAAAGGTCTTTTTTCAACTTGCTTCAAATTGACTAAATTTTTTTTTCAAAATCATCTACATGTTCTCAGAAATTCAAATCTGACTTTAGATTTGACATTTGACCTTCAATGACCTTCTCAATGTCAAAAAAGGTCAAAAAGGTATTTTTTCATCTTGCTTCAAATTGACTTAATTTTTTTCCAAAAATCATCTACATGTTCTCAGAAATTCAAATCTGACTTAAGATTTGACTTTAGATTTGACATTTGACCTTCAATGACCTTCTCAAGGTCAAAAAAGGTCAAAAAGGTCTTTTTTCAACTTGCTTCAAATTGACTAAATTTTTTTTTCAAAATCATCTACATGTTCTCAGAAATTCAAATCTGACTTTAGATTTGACATTTGACCTTCAATGACCTTCTCAATGTCAAAAAAGGTCAAAAAGGTATTTTTTCATCTTGCTTCAAATTGACTAAATTTTTTTTCAAAATCATCTACATGTTCTCAGAAATTCAAATATGACTTTAGATTTGACATTTGACCTTCAATGACCTTCTCAAGATAAAAAAAAAGGTCAAAAAGGTCTTTTTTCAACTTGCTTCAAATTGACTAATTTTTTTTTTCAAAATCATCTACATGTTCTCAGAAATTCAAATCTGACTTTAGATTTGACATTTGACCTTTAATGACCTTTTCAAGGTCAAAAAAGGTCAAAAAGGTCTTTTTTCAACTTGCTTCAAATTGACTAAATTTTTTTTTCAAAATCATCTACATGTTCTCAGAAATTCAAATCTGACTTTAGATTTGACATTTGACCTTCAATGACCTTCTCAATGTCAAAAAAGGTCAAAAAGGTATTTTTTCATCTTGCTTCAAATTGACTTAATTTTTTTCCAAAAATCATCTACATGTTCTCAGAAATTCAAATCTGACTTAAGATTTGACTTTAGATTTGACATTTGACCTTCAATGACCTTCTCAAGGTCAAAAAAGGTCAAAAAGGTCTTTTTTCAACTTGCTTCAAATTGACTAATTTTTTTTTTCAAAATCATCTACATGTTCTCAGAAATTCAAATCTGACTTTAGATTTGACATTTGACCTTTAATGACCTTCTCAAGGTCAAAAAAGGTCAAAAAGGTCTGTTTTCAACTTGCTTCAAATTGACCAAATTTTTTTTTCAAAATCATCTTCATCTTTTCAGAAGTTCAAATTTGACTTAACAAGTTATCAGAAATTCAAATCTGACTTAAGTTTGAACTCATAATATTGTGAGCAACTAGGTGGTGACATTTTGTCATGTTAATGCCTTGTTAATTTAGAAAGTGTTTGTGTAGATTTTTGTGCTGTCTCCTTGTATCTTAGGCAGAACAGAATTTTACATGGGATGATATACATGATAGTTGGTTCTACTGCTTCTTGAATTGCTATACCATGTGGTCTCTTTTGACTATATTTAACAAGCAAACAAAGAAATAAAATTTCATTTACGTATTTTCTCTCTGTGCAGCTTGATGAAGAAGTTCATAGGCCTTATCCCTCTTTTCCTGTTTCTTGGCCCTCTTCTGTTTTATGATCTCTGCCTGCCTTTGCCTCTCATTCTCAAACTGCACATTGTGGTTGTCCAGGCTGCTCATCATTTTGTCCCTCTCCTACGAGTACATAGATTAAATGGATAAAGTGTTTATCCTGAAGGAAATAAATTTATTTCCTCTTCATTCTCAAACTGCACATTATGGGTGTCGAGGCTTCTCTTCCATAATTTTTCCCTCTTGTCCAAATACATTTCAGAGGAAATAAGTTTATATCCTCGGCATACATACACATTTTTCATCATATCTTCAGGCTGAAGTATAGTTTGAAATAGGGTTATAGACTGGCAAGTTATGGATATAGGGGTTATTCTAAGTTTGGTTGAGATAAAGATATGTACCTCACTGCTCACTGAGATCAGCATTGCTCATTGTTTTGCCTATATGAACAAAAACCATAGTAACAGCATGAAAGCCATGTTAACTGCTATTATAGAATACTTTGATATTGTGCTAAGAATGTTTTGGATGCAACAACGTAGCATTTTAGTCTCTTCTTGATTGTGAGTTTATTGCAGTAGTTTATTGACATGTCTTTCGTCATTAAGTTGTAAAAGGAATGTATTTATTGATCTGACCATGTTAGTTGATACGGAGCTATTGATTACTATAGCGTTGGTTCTAGAAGTTTACAGATATTCCCAGAGTTATTTATCTGTCAGTAGGTAAAATCATGGGATTTCAAGATAAAGCCCATGGTAAAATCATAATTCAGAACTGTTTTAACGCTTCTCATACAGAAAAATTTAATGCTTTTTATTATTTTTTAATGCACCAAATAATGTTCATGTTGAATCCTACATTTTTTGATATGTATCATAAAACATATGGCCCAAAACAGTATCATTAATTCCTTTATGCTATCTTTTTTGGCTGAGGACATTGGGTTAGAACATACAGGGCTGTCATCATGCATGTTTAATTGTGGTTTAGGAGTGCTCATACTTCGAGAGCTTACATGTTAATATCTTATGTACTTAGAACTGCTTTGTCTACCAGTTTGACTGATGCTCCCAGGGGTGCGTTTATCTAAATTAATTCGTAATGATCACTTTTGTATCTTTGGTATTCCAGACACATTGTTTGCCTTCAAGTTGGTATTGCACTATAAAGTTATTAGTTGGCCAGAGTTGATAGTTTAAGATAATGCTGTTAGGGTAGAAAGGGAAAATATTGATGATGTAAATGTGAGAAAAAAGAAAACTTGGAGGTTTATTGATCCAAGCTCTTGGCTAGAAATGAGGAATAAAAGGTCTATTATTTATAATGTTTTACTTTTGTTAGCCCTGGGCAAATAAAGCGTTAAACATTCCTTGTTTTTCCGGAATTGTTTAGGGAATGAGGCGGCTTATTTTGCATGTGGGAAATGGATCAAAGGAATGTTTTTATTTTCAATTTTTTTGACTGATTTATTGGGAAATTTTGTTGACATGCAATATGTTTGATATACAATCTAGTTTTGGTTTGGGTATGCCTGATAAATTAGAAAGGCACCACTTTTGGTTTGGCAAAAATGTTGTGATTATGTTCTCAGATTTACATTTGAATTACTCAATTCAGAAGTTTTTCTCTCAGTTGGACTCTGTGGACTTGTTACTTCTTTTATCACATTATGGATAGCAACATCATAGACTTATTATCCACATTGATCTGAATCTTGGTTCCAGCGCATAACAATGAGATGCATAAATGAAGTTTTATAAGATATTGATCATTTTATTGACAGGTAAATGGATCATTATTCACTTCCGGAAGGTTCCACTGAGGACAATGGGAAATCCGGATTTGATGGATATCAGATCAATAATAAGAAAATTGTTTGTATCACTTAGACATTAGAATTAGCAAAGAAAACATTGAATTGGAATATGGAACATTATCACAAAAAATAGAGTATACTCAGCCTAAAACAGATTTAGGAAGCTTGATTGAAACATTTTTCTTTACTGCAAAGTCATTCTCAGCTACATCATGATTTGCACTGAATTAAACGTTGGCCCTTACCTCTTCATAATATTTATTGACATCGGCAGGTGCTTTGCGTTCACCTCCAGGTATAGGTGTCCCTGGTATAGCCATCTCTAGTTCCACTGCCCTCATACTTAGATTGGTCCCGTCCCTCTGGGGCATACCATTATATGGTGACAGCGTGTCGGCACGAAGATATTCTGGATTATGGAATGTCATTTCATTATGGCTACGACTGAGTTGCCGATTGTCTCCACGTGAAGTTGGATTTGCATTTGCACTTCCTGCATTAAATACAGCAGTGTGGGTGGAGTTAGAGGTACGATTTGGTTTACTTCCTGGTTCAGTACTTGCCCGGGCGTGACCTGGCTTAGCTTGTATAACTGGCTCGTGTATTGCATGCTCTGGTTTAGGTAGAACTGGTGTTATTGTTCGTTCTGGTTCTACTACTTCATTGTCATTTTTATTTTTTGATTTTAAAGGTTTCAACTTGCCAACCAGTTTAACAGGTGGTTCAGTTCGACTCCTAGGTCTTCTAGGACTTCTTGTTTTTGGTGATTCTTCTGATTGGACATGGAATGTGGCCGCCACCTTGTGTTCATTTTCAGCATTGCGAGAATGTCGAGCTGAGTGACGCTCATGGGGAGTCATTCTTCCAGGATATGGACGTTTAGGTTCTTTGCCTTGTTTAGGTGGTAGCTCCAGGCGGGAGTCTGGACGTGGGGCTGGGGACTTACCACGACTACTCATTGGGCGACTCGTCTCTGAGCCTGATGATTTACCGCTGGAGAGTCGTTCACGGGCTGGAGGGAAAGAGTTCAAAGTTACTTGTTGAAGCATAAAATTATTAAAGTTGACTTTCATTTCATATATGTACATTGTACGTGTATTGATCGAATAATGACTGATACTTCATTGTTGTTGTTATTGTTATAATAACATTACCACAGTTATTTAGTCATACTATTTAAGTACACTACTCCACTGGGGATGAACTGGAAACGAGGGAGGTTTGACTTCGTATCAAAATGGCCGCAAATGAAACAAGAGCATTTGGTAAGACCTTTCTTTTCACAATTTCGTGCATTTATCTTTCAAATTACAACTAAATATTTGGCAGGTACATAGTTCATAAGTCCCGGTTTCAATATGATTACAACTTAGAAATCAATCCAGTCATTGCTGAGATTTTAACAAATCAATTCCCTAGCTTTGGAAACGGACACATTTTTCAATGATAAGAAGAAATGTTTAACTTGCGAAAAACTTGCCTCATGAAGGCATCAATTTGCAAATATCAAAGCAATGACTGCATTAATTTCTAACATGTAATTATATTCTGAAACCGTAACTCACAAACCACTTACTTGCCAAATATTTAGTAATAATTTGAAGGACAAAAGCATGAAAATCGTAAAAACAAAAAATCTTTCCAAATCCTCCTTTTTCATTGCGGCCATTTTGATGCAAGGCAAAACCTCGCTCGTTTCCAGTTGTTGCTGCTGTCTTTTCCAGACCATCTCCAGTGTATACTCACAACATTAATATAATGTATGCCTTCATCTTGACTAAATTGATGCAATATTTTATAACATTGCTACAATCATATAATCTTGTCATGGCATTAATTCTCAATTCTTCATTCGGAAATTCATGACAGTGATCTCCTTTCTTAAAAAAGACAATCTAGCTGTTTTAAGAAATAAGATATACTGAGTATAAGGAGTTATCTACTGACACTGTTGTTGTATCCGCACATGTAGTACAAAGGAAGATTTAACCATTTATTATAATGTTAACACCACCTCAGAGGTGCTACATGCTGATATATTCATTATGGTTAATAATACTAAAATGGATTTAGAAATTTTCATTATGGATGTCTACCCATGCAGTACACAAATGAATGATGCCTTGTACTGATTTCTCCCCTGCCTGATAATATAATGATAATGCAAACATACAGTAAAAACATTAACATTGCACTCATTAATTTAATTAAAAGCGATAGAGATATCTCAATCATAACAATTTAGTGAATAGAAAATGAGACATTACACCATATGAAAAAATGCTGCTACTTTCACTCCAGAGCGTTACATTCGTTTGTAAACGCTGCGGAGCTAAATAAAATGGTGGGTGAATGACTGGTGGCTGTAAATATACCTATCGCTGCAGAAGTACCACGCAGTTTTTCTTGTTCGGCTCTTATCTCATTGCCAGTCATTTTTAGTTCATTCCTGCTCTCATGTATGAAGCCGAGCATCACCACACTCTCTTTGGCATATAGCTGCTCCACTGCATGTAGAAAAGCCTCCTAAAATTCAGAATTCTTTTTTTTAGTTATTGTACATGTTCTGTAGAATTATTTTACATAAAAAGGTGTTTGCAATTTAAGTATACTGTACATGTATTCGCAATTTTTTCGGTTTCATAAAAATATTTAAATGTAATAGGTGTTCAAAGAAGGTATACTTTGCATGTATTCATATTTTAAATATTTTACATCTATAATGTAATAGAATGCTTATTTCAAGGCACAACATGTACTAACCTAAGACAGATATTTCTTGAGATTACTAAAACAAGTACTTGTAAAATTACGTATCTAGGTTTTCTGTTTCAATAGACTAGATGCGAGTAGAAATAATCTTCATTAGGCCTATTGTCATAAAGGTAACTGGTCAACTCATACCCAAGACAACTCGTACCCAAGTCAAGTCGTACCCAAGACAACTCGTACCCAAGACAACTCGTACCCAAGACAACTTGTACCCAAGTATATGTTTTGTTTTGAATCAAGTGTTGGGCTGGGAATGGGTATAGATATACATATTATAATGGTTACATACAGTTCAGAATAGTTTGAAGTATGTAGAAGAGTTTTTGGAAGAAATCGATTGAAATTTGTGACCAAATATATTGGTCACAGATTCAGATGTTCGAGGGAAGAGATTTATGTTTATTCCACATATTCATAATCATTGTTCACAATATTAGTGGTATTTTTGTATGTTAATGATTGTTTGGAACAAGTATCAGATCTAATTCATCTTGAAATATGGTATTATCAAAAATATAAAGATTTTCAAAACTTGCGCCTATTTCTTATTAAACAGATAATCTATTTAGGATTTCATATTATCAGATTAAAGAATGATAATTCTAAGAAGTCACCTTCATAAAATTAAGCAATAAAAAATATTCTAAATAATATGAATATCAAATATTATTTTGATACTTATTCATACATGATATAATACACTTTGCATGCATGTGTTCAAATATAATCCAATTAAGTTCAAAATGGAAAAGAAATTAACAGATTAAAGTTCCCTTATTAATTTTCTCTGAATGCACTTAGCTAAATTAATTGTTTGATTCATTTGTTGAAAAGTTACTGTTGTAATTATATTCATTTATATATATGTATTACAAAAAAGTAGAGAACAAGCCCTTCAAAGCACTTCAAAGGTAATCCAAGTAAAAACAAAATGCTTTGCTTAATCCATTGAGAAAAAATGTCTTCTAAATTCAGAAAAAAATATTGAGGCACATTATAACATTAAACATTTTGACACAGACTCAGTTTGTTTTCTTATATGCACCCATAATACAGAAAATAAACGTGGGTACGAGTTGTCTTGGGTACCAGTTGACTTGGGTACGAGTTGTCTTGGGTACGAGTTGTCTTGGGTATGAGTTGTCTTGGGTACGAGTTGACTAGGAAGCGTCATAAAAACTCAAAAGTCAGTTTTCTTTGAAACTGTGACTTCTAGGCCGGGGAGATTCCCCATTGACCCCATGTTGTAAAATCACAAAAGTGAAATATATTTTCTTGTGTTGCGCAGATAATATTTTCTTTTACTGGACATATTTTAATTTGTATAACTATTAGATACATAAGGGTAATATGAAACGTGAAACACTTAAACTGATGAATATATGTGTTAAAGGGAACTTCTAATACCCTGCCATATTATTTCCCCCCGAATTAGCCACCTGGTGGCGAAACTGGTAACTACCTACTTGCATCTGAGTAATTAAATGGTGATTGAACTCATAAAATACTATTTGTCAATAATGTGTTTATAAAATGTCATAAAATGGGGCCATTGGCATATAGCTTATCTCATTATTATATTGCTTTATTCTGTTCTGCACAATCAATTGCATCATAAAAAACTATAGTGTTTCCGACTTATGTAGAATGCCTTATTATTAATTACAAATGGAGAGATTGCCAGTGTGAAACGCATCATGATTCTGTTTGAAGGTTAACAACACATAAAATGTATTCTGAGATTTCAATCCATATTAAAAGGGTGATTTTTGTAATGAGAATTTTTTCCCTAAGGGAAAGAAAACATAACATTTTATGTATATACCTGTACATGCAGCATTTGAGGGAAAGCATTTTATCCTAATGCACTCATAAATGCTCTATACAGGTAGACCTGAGACCTAATTAACATATTGGAACATTTCTCCTAAAGTGTATCAATGTTGAATATACCCAAAGGGCACCTAAAAACCGAATATCATGTAATATATTTTAGTGAAGAGGACAATATATTGACCGAGCAATCTTTCATTCTAAGCACTTTCACTCTTCTCATAATGTATTCATCACTCCCAGTGAACTCCTGATCATTGATCATTGCTATTTATTAAAAGGTAATCAATTGTGCTTTAAGCAACTGAGGGCACTGACCTGCATTTCTGGCTTGAGGGTCCTCATCTTTTCTATGAGTTCATCGTTCTCCCAGATGTCACTCATGTTGATGGAATCAAACTAGTTCAGTCAATATAACCAATATAATCAATAAACTAGTTCAATTGTTATGATTGATTTTATAATCCAGATATTATATCTAACATCGGTCTATTTTCTACTTTTCTTGATTTAAATTACTTTTTCCAGGTTTCTTTATCAAAATGCAATTCTCGGGTTCATCTATGTACATGTAGCGTCATTGAGTGGAAATGATTTTATAGTCCCATGCTCTGTATTCCTTTTCTTTTTATTATTGAACTTTAATCTTTCGTTAGAATCCAGGCAGTATACTTCCTTTAATATTCGAGTTGTCAGGAGTTGTCTTCCATCTGTCTTTGCATCCTATGACTGGCTGAAAAACAGAAAAAGGAAATCATTATTCAAATAGAGAGACGTGACTGTATCACATTTTTGTGATGGAAGTGTCTGCAATTAGCAAATCCATAAATTCATAATTTATTTCGTTTGAGGCAGCAATTGAAAATTCAATACTGATGAGGAAATAAAAGAAATATAGAAATAAAAGGAATCCAGGGACGTAGAAAATATTAAGAATTTTTTTTATCACTTGATCATCTGTAATTTATTTTTTACATGTACCAACTTTGCAACGTTCCTCAACATTATTGTCCAAGGAAATGAATAAATATTGTTGGTCAGATGTAAATATTGTTTGTCAGGCGTACACAGTGCAGTGTACAGTGTATATCCGTGGGACATAGATCCTTCAAGATCAGATTTCAATGAGCCAGCTCATGGAAAGAATTGAAATACCCTTGGACCAAGAATGCAATTGTTTGATTGCTTGCTTCTTGGTTCAGATCTGATCACGCACTAGCAGAATTTTTTTATCACACCATCGGTGGGATATAGTCGTCATACTGGTCGTGATCGTGGTCGTGATCGTGGTCATGGTGATCGTGATCGTCCCGCTTTTGTCATCGCCGTTTAAGGAAAACTGCTCATCAGATTTTCTCCAAATTCGCAGAGATGATAGAGCATATGAAGTACTAGAGCTGATTAACTTTTGGGTGGCCATTTTGTTTTCTGGCGGCCATTTTGAAGGTTTTCGAAAAATCTTGTCATCGCCATTTCAGGAAAACCGCTCATCGGATTTCCTTCAAATTTACACAAATGATAGAGGATATCAAGTACTAGAGCTGATTAACTTTTGAGTGGCCATCTTGTTTTCTGGCAGCCATTTTGAAGATTTTTCAAAAAATCTTATTATCGCCATTTCAGAAAATCCGCTCATCGGATTTCCTTCAAATTTACACACATGATAGAGGATATCAAGTACTAGAGCTGATTAACTTTTGGGCGGCCATCTTGTTTTCTGGTGGCCATTTTGAAGGTTTTTCGAAAAATCTTGTCATCGCCATTTTAGGAAAACCGTTCATCGGATTTCCTTCAAATTTACACAAATGATAGAGGATATCAAGTACTAGAGCTGATTAACTTTTGGGCGGCCATCTTGTTTTCTGGCAGCCATTTTGAAGATTTTTCGAAAAATCTTGTCATCGCCATTTCAGAAAATCCGCTCATCGAATTTCCTTCAAATTTACACACATGATAGAGGATATCAAGTTCTAGAGCTGATTAACTTTTGGGCGGCCATCTTGTTTTCTGGTGGCCATTTTGAAGGTTTTTCGAAAAATCTTGTCATCGCCATTCAGGAAAACCGCTCATCGGATTTCCTTCAAATTTACACAAATGATAGAGGATATCAAGTACTAGAGCTGATTAACTTTTGGGCGGCCATCTTGTTTTCTTGTTCTTGAAATTTGTAAACATAATAGGAGAACAGTTTTCCTGGTTCATAGTGTCTGCCTATTTGATGGTGTGATCTCGTTCACGTCCTGTGCCTTGTTTAAACATTTCGTTATGCCTCAAAAAATGGGCCTTTTTGGGTTGTAGGCCAAATTATTAAAGAATGGGCCTTAAATTTTCAAATTTGGGCCCAATTTTGGATTTTAGGGGCTAAAAATATTTTCGTAGACATTGAAATCTGCCCCCACCCCCTTGTAAGCTCCTGGATCCGCGAATGCCACGTCACTTTTATTTGCATTGCTGCGTCTTTATCAATCAAGATATTTAATATTGTGACTAAAGGAATGCACTGGTTCAACAGTATGCCATTGATGCAGAATAATTGAATCTTTGTAAGGAGAGATAAAGACAGGAAAATTAGAATGTCAACAAACGCAAGTAGCTGTAATAAAAACTTTTATGGATTAGTTGTACAATGTATTCGTTGTACTGTGTAATGTCCCTTTCTTCTATTATTTGAATCTAGCATGATATAAGATGTGTTTTCAAAGGTTTTATGCTGAAGGATGGATCTTGAAATAATTGAAAGAGAAAGATTGGCAAATCAATTTCTATTTTTTGAATAATTCTGGCCCTCTGCGTACTCTTTTAAATTAACTACCTGTAAATATATCAATACTAACAAATAACATATATGATATATTCAAATGTAACAAACAAATCCTGGTTATGGGCCTGGTCTCATTAAAATATTTAAAATATTACTCTCCCTTTGTTCTGCTTCATTAGAATATACCTTGTTGAATTAGCACTACAATAATAAATACATCTGTGAAAATGGCATGTGTTAACAACAATTCTATGTATATACAGTTTACACTAACACTGTGTTTACAATAATTCTACATGTAACAATAAATATTTTGTTTCGGTCTACCTCCACATTAAGTAGCATAAACAGTTATAGTGTAATGAATGTGTTGGTGATGTAATTTAATCAATTAACGAGTTTGTCAGTGACTGGAAGTTGTTCGATTGGCTGAAGTGTATTAAGTGTCTTAATCTCTGCTGTAAAATGTCCAAAGTTAGGTTTTCTGGGTTTTTTTGTGTTAAAACACATTTTATTTTATTATCACAGAAGGTAAAAAGATACATTAACCTGTTTGGTTATTTGGGTTCAAGAGATATTAATTTGATGAATTTGTCTTTAGAATTTAGGCTACATTTTGGCAGATTTATAATAGCCTGACTCTGCTTTAGGTTCGTTCTTTACAATAACAAACTTTTTGATTCATCCTTTTACTCCAAGGAATTTATCCTTGTCCATGATGACAAAAAAGCATGCATCCCTCCCTTTTAAACAAAACATACAACCTTTAAGTTTAATATGCAATATTTGTTGTTGTTTTTTCTTCCTCAAATACGTATATTAGTGAAATATTGGATAGACAAGCAGATTTTTTATTATTAAGAATATTCTATTTGTCTATGTTTTCATCATATAATGATTTATACAAATTGTAGTAGTTATAATGCATAATACAAAGGATTGAACAAGATGCAGATTTAGCTTTCCCAGCAACTGAGTTTTCTCATTTGCTATAGCAATCAAAGCCTCAGTTTACTTAATCAAACCATTGATTGCGTTGAACATTTATCACTTTTTTCAAGCTCGTTAAGTACAATTATGATCTGAGATGAATGTCATAGTGCCATGAGGTAAGATGTTAAATCAATATAGATTACACATAGGTTCTTTTCGCCCTCCTATATTACACAAAGAATGCTTGAGGTATGGAATGGAGATCTCAATGATCCCTGTGTTGTTAGATGCAGCTCTCTGCCGTTTTTCTGGCTGACAAGAAGAATGTTGAGTTTGTAAGCAAATATGCCAAATGGAATAATACTGAAGAAAAGGAAATTGCAAGTTTAATATTCATTAGGAAACAAACCCCAAACATCCCCAAAATTATCTAATGTGAAAAGAAAGAGTTTCTAACACCCCTATAACACATCATTCCATAACTTAAAGAAAGAACTAATAAAAACATAAAGATTGATGTCGTACTTCATAACGACTGGTTTTCCTTTTTGACGTGTGTATAAAAAATGATGCTGCATAGAGGTTTAAATTCTAAAAACCTGATGACCAGAAACATATTTATCATTGTCCTGGCCTAAGCAACAGCAAATAATGATGCAGGCAGGATTAGAATCCGGGTTCTGTTGATTGTTTCGTACTTGTTATTTGCTATTATTAAGATGTATACAAATTACCTTGTTTCAATAATACATTTTTATATACTTGAAATTGTAAGTTAGATAAACAACATTCTTACATTATAATACATTATTAATAAAGTATCAACGCAAGACAAATGGAGTAAAGTTGTTTTCCAATTTGTCAAACAATTGTAAATGCAATTTATCTCTTATTTCAATCAATCCATAATATCCCAAAGATATACGTTTATTAAACAGTGTATTTCCCTTCAGTTCATTATTCAATTATATCATTTTTATATTTTTATGTACTGTGTAATATAATGTTCACATGCAGTATAACATTCATATACAACGTAATATAATTTTCATCCGTATCCTGTTCAAATAAAATTAGTGATCTGAGCAATAGAAAATGTAAATGAATGAGATGTTCAATATAATTGATACAAGATATAGACCTATATTATAAATTAATTTGTATGTAGTTAAACAGAAAACGTAATGGAATTGCAGACACAAGGAATTATGATATTTACAAAATCTTACCTGAATAGATGTTATATCGATTCAATATTTGCCATATCTTTAATTTTCCACCGTGAATTATATTCCACACTATTGTACAAAAACTAAAATAACTTCAGTTTCTCACCTTAGTTCTCCATTATTGTAGTTGTTAAATCGTTGTCCATCTCTAATAACGTTCTGTTGTCAGTTCAGTGAAGGTATTTTCCGTTTATTGTCTCGAAACGAATTATTGATCTCCGGATCTATATAGCGTCATACAAGTGTATCCTTTCAACAACCTTACAATGTCACATACACGCACAACTCTAACTGTAAGCGCTATTATAAATCTCCGTTATGATGAAATACTTGTCAATATGAAATGTTATAAAAGATAAACTGATAGCGTAGATTAAGATTACATAAACCTGTATGAGAAAGAGCCGGGGAAATAGTGCAATTCTGAGTAATGAATATGAATGTGGCTAGATTTGTAAGTGTAGGGTAGAAGATGGAATAATAGGCAGTTAACATTATAGAGATGTAGACAGAGAGATTAGAATATTGGTTTGACATTTCGTTAATTACCTTCTAATGTTAAACCATTAAATCATGACACCCATCAATATACTTACTTTGAACCATTGCAGTTGATAATTTTTTCAATTGATATACCATTAGAAAGTACTTCAGTGTGATATTATATAACATACATTCAGAGGGTATTTCAATATTTTTTACATTCTTGTTATATACCTTAAGAAAGAATATTAATGTAATATTCATATTACATACCATCAGAAAGTACTTAAATATTTACAAAGGATGGGTATCGATATGGTGAACATTTTGAACACACGGAACTTTCTCTTAAACCAGTCATCAAAAATTTTTGAATATTTTACACATCGTCGATTTAATGGTCATCTTTTGAATGGTAACAGTATAATTTGAAATAAATATATATACTTTTCTCTATATTGTTTTAGAAAACACATCAGACACTTCTTTTGTTCTTGGTATCATATGTTCGGAATGAAATGAAACATCTATCCAAACTTCATTGGAACAAAATGACATAAACACAATGTTAACAAAAATGTTAAAAAACAGTTACATAAAATATATAAATAATTTTCGCATTAAATTGTTGTCAATCAGTCAAAATTACATAAAGGACCGTGTTTTTTCACACTATGTTTTCGATAATTGGTTCAAGAGAATAACATTTTAATATGATATTCATATTTCCAGAATGATTCATTATTGTTTCCTACTTTGGTTTACTGATATGAACCATTTTATGTATTTTGATATGGCTGGGTTGAGTAAGCAATATGTTCGTTTCTGATAATGTTTAAAACGTGTCAATAACAATTGATCAGCTTTAAGTTATTACGGCACAACCTGTAGTATGTATGGAAACCTATTGATTTCAGATAGATGGTACAGAGAGAAAACAAGAATTGACAACTAACCCGTTTGACATTACATAGACATAGAGAGGAGTTGGAGTTGATTTTGGTAGACTGTAAATCTAGTAAATCTAGTAAATCTCGTAAATCTAGTAAATCAAGTAAATCTAGTAAAATCTTGTAAAATCTTGTAAACTTTTTAGGGACCATTCATTTGATATCAATGTCAGTCTCTATGAAGAGTATTGGTGATTATGATTCCTTTTACAGCATTAGAAATATACCTTCTCTGCATTAAAATTCAGAGTCATTCCTTTCATCAAATAATAAATATACAAATTTTTTAACAAAATTGTGAAATATTAGAATAAAAAAGAATGTTTAAGGGGCTGATATGATATGGCTTTAAACTATTAATTACAAGGAATACAAGGAACATATCATCATCAAAATGTAAATGGAAAGCATTGTAGAAATGTCATACTATACTTTATGTATAGGTAAAGCAAATAGATCAATCAGTAAGTTGTCTCACTCTTCCCCTTGCTACAGCATTTGATTGTTTTTATTATTATTATTTTGGGGGGTTGGCAAAAATCAATTTTGAAATTGCCATTTATCCATTCCTCTAACATTGGAACTTCTACAAATATTGTCAATTGAACAGCATCGCCAAAAAATAAGCAATAACTAAATTATCTGATAGGCTAAGCATTATAACATTTTGTGAGGGAAAAACTAGCCTGTGTCATTTAGATGGTACGCATTGTCCCCCCAGTCCTTAAAATGTTAAATGTGTGGCTTAATTTGTTAATAGAGCATGCTTCTTGGGTGGGTTGTGTATGATGATAAAATGGGTGTACCTTTTGATAACCATTTTGTTATCCAGTACTAACATATAGTTGTTTTGTAACTAAATATAATGAAATAAAAGGTAGAATTTTTTCTACATGTTCATTTCATTCATACAAAGGCATTTTCAGTGCTTTTTCGACATTTGCACTTTATATCTTAGACATTGTATAATCAAGTTTTTACAAGATTTTACAAGATTTTACTAGATTTACTAGATTTACTAGTTTTACTAGTTTTACTAGATTTACTAGATTTACTAGATTTACAGTCTACCGTTGATTTTAGATGTTTTCCGGATCTCTCATCTAACATGCCTTAAGGGTAGTACCATCATTCATTCAAAGGGCTTCATTTATTCTTCAATTTAAGAAGCTTGGACCAAGGATGGTGTTGTACATATACTTATTCTTTCCATTCATTTATTCACAAATCAATGTCGTTGACAGCTAAACCATCCACCTTTGCAAACAAAAACAAAAGAACAAACCTTCTGGAAATGCAACAAACTTTCTCGAAAAATTGGTTACCCATAATAGATATTGATAATTTTCACAATATTTAGTTCATATGGAATATGGGCAATCCACAAAACAAAATTGATTTTGTGTACAGTAAAAGAGGTTGGCAACTTGGCACTGTTGAAATTCAAGCATTCATTCATTAATATTGTACGCATATAGTTCATTGATCACCACTCAACAGGATATAGACCTAGTAGGGGATGATATAATCAAAAACCTGTAATATATGCCAGTGTTACTACAATGGCTTTGATGGAGCACAGCTTCTATAAAAGCCAGATATCCAGCACAAATAAACCTCACAAGGCGTCAAGATAGTGATGATAGCCACTTGATTTTTTGAGAATAAACTTTTAATTATACACTTTCTTAAATAAAAATGAAGATGAATATTTTATATAGGCTATATAGGCAAGAACATGTGACAATGGGAGGAGTTTGGGAAGGAGCCTTGGCAACTAAAATATTTATAAAAAAATGATACTGCCTGAATTCTAACTAAAGATTAAAATATTTCCACAAATATTAATGTTTTAAACATTTATTTTATATTATTTTATCATGGAAAAAAAGTTAGCATTTGAAATACAAGACATGCAATATGCCCCAGCTAGGTTTATCAAACAAAAAATAATTGGCAGCCTAAATAAGTTAATATTGATTGATAAGCTAATCCATTTGCATGCTTTATCTTTAGTTTATATTTTTCATACTCTGAAACAAAGTGTTATCAGATTAAGGTAGGAACGGGTGAATAACTTTGGTACCTGAATGTGTACACAAGCCTTTAGACACATTAGATAACCTATTCTCCTCTAGCTACCTTAATTGTACTACGAGTTTCAGGGCATAGTACATCTTAGATGAAGTTCTCATGAAGAGAAGGAAAACTTTTTGAAAGGGTCTCTAAATGAAGATTGATGATATAAAAACTATGACAACAGGATAGCATGAGATTTGTAATATATTTCTGTAACAGATTATGATTTACTACAATATAACGTGAAAGTTTGATGATGAGCTGATATTCATGTAGGCCTATAACATGTATAAAGTTTATGAACATAATTTGATACATCTTTAAAAGGTGTCTCCTGATTATATGTATAAGTTTCACTACAATAATAGGTGTTGTGCATGGGTTTAGTTATTTAGCTTTTAAGATCAATGTTATGGTAAAGTCATGTCCTCGTATTAGATTCTTGTACTTATTCCGATTGTGAGGTGAAGTGTTTCTCAAAAATCAATTCTTGTAATTCCTTTTGAAGCAATGGAAAACTGTTGCAATAAACACAGGCATTAAAGCAGTTTAAGTATTTCACCCAGAAGTTGTTTCGATTATCCTTGGAACACTCACATTTTTGATCAATGGTAATATAGAGAATGGATAACTTTGAAGTGTGGAATGTTATTATTCCTTGTTTATCTATACATTCACAACATAAAATAAAGAGTCTGGTTATTATTGACTACCAAAGTATTATTTTTTCATTATGAATAACTGTAATATCTTGAAATTATTACTTGCTTATTCCACATATTCTTCATGGCTTTTCATGCTTTTTCAGAAATATGAATTGTGTAATGCCATATTATCAAGGTATGTATTGTAACAGGGTCACCACAGTTCGTCAAGTGGAAACTAACAAGACTTTGTGTTGCCATGACAGGATTAATGCCCTATTGTTAGACAATATGTCTGATCGATCTCAGAAACAATATTCTGCAGCAAAGAATAACGAATACTTATGATGATTTACGACTGTTTGTGTTATCAAATGAAATGTGTTAATCAATCTGATTTCATATTAATTAATTGTACAGATACAAAAAATCTGTTTGTATAATAGAGTGTTAAGAAATTGCTTTCTAAAAAAGGAAAAATGTGCTTCTATCAGAAAAGCAGGACAATACCATTGAAGTCCAATGATGGTGCAACCTAGTGGGCATTATAAATCAAGAAATATATTTTGGGTTAATTTGGGATTTTAGAATTACAGATGCTGCCCTTCAAAGGAGAAAGATTTTATGACATATCTGAATTCTGTGTATACTTTTTTTACAAGAACTGTGATACCATCAACAATAAATGTAAACAGGACTTTGAAAGAATGTAAGAATAGAAGCCCCAGTTTTCACCGACCTTTTTATTTCTTTTCTTAAAATTTTGAAAAGTTAACAATTTTTTTTTACTTGACGCAGTGAAACAGTGTAATTTTGGGTACTACAGTAATTTGCTATTTTGTTGTTATAGCACAAAATAAATAAATGTCATAATATTATTTTAAACAAGATATATTCTTTATATTATAAGAAACAGCAGATATAAAACATGAAATAATATACCAGTTGCCTATACACTAAGCTATATATAAAGATAGAATAGATATATACAAATAATTTAAGTTGGGATTCTTAAATTGTTTTACAAAAAATCACACTAAATTTCTATTTACTGAAAAATTTGCACATTCTAGTATCCCATTTGGAAAGGTATCTAAATCACAGCATGTTATAGCATTGTAAAATTGTTCCGAACACAAATAAAAAATGTTACTTATTCTAAATTCATGATTTTTAAATCTAATAAATAAACCTCTTTGCTATACTCTCATATATTGTACACATAGGCTATCTTTTTCCTACAATTTCACAATTCCTAAATGAACACATATTTAAAATCAAGTCAATTAACAAATTGTAGTGGCATGGTCTACAGTAAAACTTGCCAAGAGGGACACATCTGTAAGTAGAACACCTCTATAAGTGAAACACCTCTGTGAGAGGCGAACACTTCAAAATATTGTTACTCAATATCATGTGAATTGAACCTTGGGTGGAGCACACCCAAAGTGGAACATTATTTTAGGGCACCAAGGCATTTCACTTTCACAAGTTTTAATGTATAGACATTATACATGATTGGTATATACAGGATAAACCCTTCCACAAAGTATAGCTTGTAAATTATGCATATGATTGTTGAATAAAGCCCCTTTGTCCAATATTACACTTTTGTTTTACATCATACCCATATATTAAAAGGTATATAAATAATAGAGGTGTCACGGATACCTGATTTTGTTCTGATCTGCGTAATTACACTACCGGAATGAAACACGGCACAAAAATTAAGCATTTCGGTTCGGTTCCGGAACAAGAATATCTTACCCCTTCACACCTTGTAGCCCTTAAATTGCCAACATTCACAAAACAGTATTTTTCTTTCAATATTTTGAGTTCACTCTTCACTCATTCTCATTGAAGGGTTTTAAAGAGCTTTTTGCTTTTTTTAATCTTATACACTCAGTCACTCTGTTCGAAACAGTTCCGAAGTTGTTCTGTTCCGAACAAAATGTTCCGAACCGTTCCAATTTTTTTGTTGTTCCGTGACATCTCTAATAAATAACATTCACATAAACATGACATAATGCAGTTGATTATAACTTAAAATGATATAATAACACATTTCATCAATACACATGTAAAATAATAATAAGTGCATACTCTGACACCCCAGACAGTAAATTTTCTTCCATAGAAATTATGACAACTAAAAAATAAAAATTTGCAGCTGAAATAGAAATTGAAAATTGCACCTATGATATACTAAAAAGTGGCAGCTTTAAAATTAAAGCTGCATTAACTCAGGGTGTCAGGTAAACTGTATAGTAAGTCATGCATATTTGCTTCTATCACCAAGTATATAGTATTATAGTGTGTATAGAGCACCAAGGTTTTCAGATGAAGGTCCTTAATATTCATATTAATAAATGGTCTTGCATCATATTTGCCTCAACTCAGTGCATTGTAGGCCTATAATATTTATTTTATTTCATGTCCTAACTTGTCATTCATGAGGGTATTAAATTAAACAATTCTCCCTACTCTGATGTTCACAGTATTTACACTCCCCAAAAAAGTTTGGAAATCACAATTTCTCTATCATGGACCACAAGTTGTAGCTGGTTTATTTGCGATGACTTTTAAAGATTCATCAAATTTCACTGACCTATTGTTATTATAAGGGGACAACATTCAAGCTTTAACAATGGTATCCAAATGGGAGGCTTTCTAAACTTTTGGAGGGGGTGTAAATTAAGCTAGAATTTCTCCCATTTCTTTTAAATTTTAATGTCCAAAGTGTAATAGAAACCAGTGCAACATACATGCAGTTTAGTAGTATAATATAATATTTTATAATATATATATTTATATATTGGTATAAAGACTAATAATATTCGCAAGGCACATTGGGCAAAATATGTCTTCATGTCAAAAAGATTGAGAAACAATATACGAGATTAGTGTAGTAGCAGAATAGGTGGTTTTTGACCTCGGTGGTATTTAATCCAAGTTGTATTTGACCTAGATGACATTTGACCTTGGTGGTATGTCATTTCAATGGTATCTGACCTCTGTCATACAAGTATTTGACCTATAATAATGGTATTTGACTAATATCATATTTGACCCATATGGTATTTCAGTTAATACTCTATTCAACAGAAAGGTAATACCACAACTGAAGTTGCATCTTTAAATCCTTCATATATGTAGGAATTGCAGACATATTTATATTTTAAAGACATCTCAACGCAGTTGTGGTCTGATCGTGTAACCTGCTAGACAGGAAATTCAGAATTGACATGACAGGCTATGGTCATTAGTAAGAGGTATCTACTGTATGTGTGCCTTATCTCCAAGCTTCTTAAGTTCATGGTTTTCTGTTTTTTGTTGTTGCTGCTGCTTGTACAATACAATGGCATTGGCATGAGTTTTAAAGTGTACATAAGAAGCGATAACTATTGTCAAGGAAGTATACTCTAGTACAAAATTGTAACCATGAATGTCCAAGGAGCTTGGAAGTGTACAAAGATCTCTCTTGATCTCTGAAGTTAATTGAGTTTCGTGCTGATCAAAATGGTACTTGTACGAGAGCAGCAATCACGATAACGAGCACCAGAACAAGGATAGATGTCACTATCAGGTAAAGGCTCAGCATACAGCACTTGAAGCGACGACCCTGAAATTATGGGATATATTGTGTTAAATATCAAATATGATGTTTATCAAAATAATGGGGATATTCCATAGAAAACTATAGCTCTTATTCAAGACTATACTTGACCAAAATCATAACAGTTTTCATATATAATATACAGTAATAAAGTTTCAACTGTAAATATACAATTTGAAATAATAAACTTGCCATCAGATGAAAAAGGTAGTTGCATAATACCAGAGCATGTTGCTAAGTGAAACGAGTATCAGAATGGATTTTTTGATTATTTTAAAACAGTCATGAACATTTATTGATTCTCATATACTACAAGTCACATTACTATAACACATTTATCATGAAGAATTGGTTATTTTGGGAGCAATCTATTCATTCTGTGAATGGAGATCAATATGGCATTGAAGCTCAGACTGTTATACTACTCAGATGTCACAAGACCATTCAATAAAATACGATACAATATATAAAATACAAATCAATAAAATACAATACAATTTAGCAATTTAACCATTAAACCAAAGTTAATCTACTTAATAATTGGCAAAATCATGATCAGTGTGTAATATAGTTATTTTCCTTGAAAAAAGCTCCAATATGTCATTATCAATCTTTGAATAAATGGAGTGAAAACTTACAGAGTATTTGGGTTCAACGTCAGCCATTCTTGGATCTCCCTTCTTTTCCATTTCAATCTCTTCTCTCTTCTCTGTAATATAGAAATGAATTGAAAGTACAGTTTTGGGATTTAAAATGCCAAAACATGAATAAATAACATGCTAAATTGTTGAAATTTGTTTGCACCCTGCAAAAAATATTGGGATATTTTGACCAAAACAGATACCTTTAAATTCACAAAAAATGCCGCCATTTTGAATAAATATGAGGCAAAATGATGAATTATGTATTTGTGTCAGTCATACTATGAATGCCTATAATATCAATAAATTAAGACATGTTCCTTAAATATTTTTTTTGTATGTCAGAATTTTACTCTACAGGGTGTCCGGAAAGTAAAGATACAAATGCTCTTATTTTAAGAAATTTGTTTTTTTTAAAATGAAATTGCTACAGATTGTAGAGGAACAAAATTACAATATATCTACCAACTTTCATCATATATAGTCTTAATGTGTTTAAGTTACGGTTGTTATGGTTACGGATGTGAGGGGTATGCGGAGCAGTTCCAGAACAACGCTAAAAAGTGAAAAATTGCTAAATGACAACCATTTGAAACAGTGTTTTTTGTTGTTGTATTTTCTATGTTTGTTTTTTTTTGTTCATCATTGTATTATTGCAGCTGCCATAGTGTTTTCTATTATATAATGATGTCATTGCTACTGAACTATGTTATGTCACTTACCAGTATAATGAAAGAAATATTATACAAGTGCCTAGAAGAATGGTCCCTGGCAATTTGTAGGAAAGTCAATATTGCATCTCCACAATGCACCAATTCACAAAGCAAAAAACAAATCTTACAATTGAGTGCCTTGACATTAAACCTTTCTATACAATGCCCCATATTCACCTGATAAAGTCTATTTAGACTTCTACCTGAATGACCATTTGAAAGCAATATTTGTAAAAAAGGTCAACATACAAATTAGACTCAGCTGGAAGCCAATGTTATCAGCAATCTGAGAGATGGACAGCAGCGGTTTTGTCAGGTCTTTGAACCGCCGGTCAAGATGCACCAAGAATGTATAGATAAAGGGGAAAATACTGAATATTAATGATAGCAGTAAATGAAAATTAGTAAGTGAAATTATCAAATAATGTTACATTACTAATCCCTATGCTGTTGTGCTACATAATTTGATATAATATAGGTATAGATGGTGGAGTGCCAAGATCATATGAGTAGGAAAGAGATTTGTAGAACACAGTTGTGACGTTGCTCCACTTACCCTCGACTCCCGTTACCATAACAACCATAACTTTTTCATTTTGAAACTGAAAGTCATGACAGTTGCAGGATATATTGTTATAATGTCATTCTACATTCTGGAGCAATTTCATCTCATAACAGGTAAATCTCTTGAAATTAGAGCATTTGTATCTTTACTTTCCGGACACCCTGTAGTTTTCAAATATGTGCTCAGACTATGATAATACGGAAAATTAAAAAAGTTATTAAAGAAAAAGTGACCATTGAACAATTCTGTCCGGGCTACTAATCAATATTTAGCACTCAGTGTGATATGGGATGCACAAAGCAATTCTGGATGTTATCCTACAATTATTAGTTATTTAGAGATCTAAATCATACATGTAATTATTTTAATCTTCAAATGTTGTATGGTCTTATTCAAATATACTTAATGCAACTGAAAAATATCACTTTAACAAAAGTCAACAAACTTTCCCTTCGTGTTTAAAAGCAAATAACAGTGACAACTTTTTAGTTGTTTCATTAATGAGAATTCCAAATTTTTGTTTAACAAAACTACAACAAATATGAAGAAAAGAGTGATCCTCTCTAGAATAACCCAATTAACAAGACATATGATAGATATTACAATATATACATGTATATATATAATAAATAAATATGATTAACATAACAAAATGTCACCACCTAGTTGCTCATAATATTATTAGTTCAATCTTAAGTCAGATTTGAATTTCTAAGAACTCAGTATATGATTTTGAAAAAATATTTGGTCAATTGAAGCATGTTTTTTTACCCTGAGAAGGTCAAATCTCAAATCTAAAGTCAGATGTGAACTTCTGAGAACTTGTAGATGATTTTGAATAAATACCTTTTTGACCTTGAGAAAGTCATTGAAGGTCAAATCTTTTTTGACCTTGAGAATGTCATTGAAGGTCGACTCTAAAGTCAGATTTGAACTTCTGATAACTTATAGATGATTTTGAAAAAACATTATGGGTCAATTTGTAGCAAGTTGAAAAATACCTTTTTGACCTTTTTAACCTTTTTTGACCTTGAGAAAACATGTAGACAATTTGGAAAAAAATTGAAGTCAGTCGAAACAGCATTTGTTAAGTTATTGAAAATTTTAAGAATTTGTTACAGACAGTGAGACACCAACTGCCGATCGGCAACCACCAACTGCCACCACAAAAATAAAGACCATAACAAATGTCACCATTTCTTAGTGGTGACATAACAATCAAAATTCAATAAAATCCACGAAGAACAAGAGTATACAGGATGTAAATACTAACAGATATCAAAACAATTAACAACCTTATGAGAATAAGTGCAACTTACAAAGTGATATACCATGGTACATGTGAACTAGGAGTCCAGAGACCAGTCATTTTTAGTGCCAGTAAAAAGAGCCTCATGTGTAATTATTATTACAATACTGTTTTAGCAGAATAAAATAAAATTATAAGAAAGACATTGACGCGCATTTTGAAAGAATGCTTCCTTCTTTTAAGTAATGTTACAAATTACTGTCTATAAAACAAATACACAACATGGCTCTGGGGCCTGGGGGCAGTGTATTAACAGATACCAGTTAGACAAAACAATAATCAAAACAATACCTTTCTTTTGCCTGGCTAGAGAAATGAAAAGAAACTACTTACAGAGATAGATACAAGCAGATGGAAATATCTCACATTGCATAATAGTTTTAGTAAAAAGGGATTGAGAAGAGCAATGACAATACTGGAGATATTTGCTAACAAAACATCAAGAGAAAAGAACAAAATTTTTGAAGGTTTCACCAGGAGATTTATAGAATGAAAATAAACGATTTTCATATGTATAGATGAAAATAAACGATTTCCATATGTATAACTGAGTGGATGATTTAGAGATTTTTACATGTGAAAATCATATCTAATGGTCTTAAGGTAGACAAAGTAATTTAGTTAATATAATGGGCATTTTATGCCATCAACCAACTTGGTCCACCTTAATCATAACACAGGCATTAACACTACCTGCCATTTATTACACTTACCAAACTCCAAACACTTAACGCCAACATTTGAACACCAACCGCCAAACATGTTCACAAAAAAGTCTTGAGACTAAAACAATATAATATAATATAACATAATGATACCAGGCAGGTAGTGTTTGTACGTATATGTCATTATTACCTTTGTTCCTTCTGTTCATACAGCACTGGTGGATCTCCAAGATAAGCTCACAGACGACATGGAAGATCACCCAAGCCACCATGATCCATGTAGCCCACCATGGCACAAACACCTTTGGGAAACCCATTCCAAGGAAAATTGTTGGAGCTGGAAGCAATTTTCATAAAAATAGAGGCTTTCTTTTAAATATTAAACCGCAACGAGCATTTTTTAGAAGAACTATTCAGCTAATAAGTCCTGACTGATTGACATATTTGTAGCGTCCTTAATGTTCAATGATATACATATCATTATGTTCCTTATTTATGCCTGTAAAACGTACTATTCCAAGAAAACATCATTTATTAAATAAATAAAGTGACTGATAAATTTAATTCAAACATTAGACCCTAAACCAGCGTTACCATGCATTACCAAAACACTCCCAACATGCCTACACGTATCTATATATACAGTAAAAGCTAGTCAGATGACTCAGTCAAATGTTGAATTCTGAACAGTTGTACATGTATTCAATGTAGACAGGTTTGACAGTACATAATTATTATATCCAATTCCAACTCACCAGACAACACATGGCCAACTGTACCTACTCCCCAATGAACCCAGTTAAAAATTGGACGATTAGGCGTATCAGGATGAGGGCGGAATAATGCAAGTATAGGCTGAAACACATGCAAGCATTACACATACATTAAGGGGTTCAAGCTAAAGGTTCACAAACAATGGGTTCATAAGCTGAGCATGGTTGAATCTTATACACCTCTGGTATCCTGCAATGGAAGAAGCCCTTTATTAATAAAAATCTAAGGTTACCAATCTAAACATGCGCTTCAAATCCAATGTAATTTAACATCACCACATGCATACTGTAAATTGGGTTACTTTTGGTGCCTGATTAATTTTGATAAAAGCAATTCGAAAAATTCACCATTTTAAATCTTCCCAAAATATGACATTGGTCCCTTGAAAGATTGTTGTTTTTGTAGCATATATACATAAAGAGAGACCGCCTTCTGGTACAACAATTTTAGGAAGTAATGTCCATTGCCATAACTGAGAAACAGCAAAACAGAACCAACTTGGCTCAGCCAAGAACAGGAACAAGAAAGGATTGTAATGCCAGCATCAGCATTAAAATCATGAAAACATCATTGAAAACACGTTCTCACTCAATACATACGCAGAAAATTAGCTAAGCCTAAATCCTCTATTGAAAATATCAACAAGGCATCAACATGCAAAATGTCAACACCAGTTATTGAAAGCTCCAACCATCAAACACAAAAAAAGTTGGACACTAAAACAATATGGGTGGTGAAGGAAAAACTGAAAAATTCCTAAAATGAAATACAATAACATTTGATAGGCAAGACTACAAGTATTCATGAACCGAATGACGGACAACCTGGACACCCATATTAAATAATAATAATAAAAAAATGACAGGATGATAAAGGTGACATATATACTATTTACTTCATGGACTGTGACTTTTGTGACATCCTGTAGAAAGCAACGATTTGAATAGAAAAGAATATTCAATGAATGCTACAGATGGCCTTAATTATTCAGTGCTCTGCATCCACCCGTCCGGCTCAGCGGTAGCACAGGTACCTCTTACGCAATAGGTACCGGATTCGATCCCCAGTTCTGGCAAGACTTAATTTGCTTGTTTGCGTAAAGTACTTCAGGGTGTTTGACAGAGTGGTCCACAACTCGTACAAAACGCTGAGGTGTGTACTTGTATGTCTATGTATGGGTGCACATAAAATAACACAGGGCTCCTTTGAGGAGGGGTTTCTGGGTCTATCTTCCAGGCTAATTATGTTAATTATGACTGTATATATATATGGGATATACCCAAGAGGTATTGCTCACCTTTATTGGTGGTAAACATAATACAATACAATACAAATCACACTCAGGGACAAGCAAATGGGACACTCATCACAAGCAAATAAGTGAAAAAAAACATTGATCCAGAGAGATTCAGAGTGCCACTTATTGAGCAATAGCTGAAGCTACAAAAGCTAGGGGAAATAGCAACAGACATAGCCTACTACTATAAAGGACCATGTCAAAGAAATCAACTTTGTTTCAAAATTAATTTTTAATAATTTCTAAAATTATATTTTAGACCAACTGACCAGCAAGTCACCAACTGACCAACAAGTCATATTTAGAATTTTTGTTTTCACTGCCACCTCCAAAAATCTCTTTTTAAATGATCCATTTTATTTCCTCAACAAATAAAACAAATAAGTTATGTTTTAAGGCCAATTTATTATACATAATGACCTTATCTCATGCTCTTAACACCTGTCAGGCCAAAGCTGTCAAATGTGAAACCCTGGAACCTTTTGAAAAGTGAACCAATTGGCAAAGTGAACCCATTGGCAAATGCTGGCTATGGGCCTCCCTGTGGAACCAGTCAATAACCAAGGTTCAGAAAAGAAAGTTCACATAAAGTTTTGACAAATAGAGGTTTGAGGCCTATATCATGTTTAACAGTAGCAGCATCGGCATCAATATAAATAAGACCCCTTCATAAGAATGTTCACATGCTATTGTTACTGGGTGATTAATTCTCCATGGACGAAAACACACTCAAGGGGTTCATCGTCGTTAAAACTATAATAAAAAGCAACTGACAGGTGTAACTGCTTGTGAATACAATGATCTCATTAAAAAGTGATATCTTTTGATTCGCAATTTGTGATCCAATGAACGATAATACCTCATAGAAGGCACTGACACTGAATTAACCCCTTTGCAAGTTTTACTCCATTAGGCCCTACATATTTCTTTGTCATTGGTTCAATCATGAACAAATGATTCTACACAATCAACCTTCATGCAGTTGTGCTATTCTACACCAAGGGTTATGGAGTTAGTTTAGATTACAAAGTTTTGCTGTTCGAACTTTATGTCACTATAATCGGTCTTTTAATGAATTCTTATACCCATTAAAATATTCTTTTATCTTAATACTCCATGGAAGAAGGATAGCACATAGTGGATGATGTCTGCACCTCTGTTTTAAAAGGATGCAAACTTCATATCTCTAACTATTTTCTCATTGTATGAAAGTGTCTTACGATGGTAGGCAAATATGTCACTTTGTGATCTAAACAAACCAAGCTCCCGGGTAAATATATCATGGACAAATTGTTCAAAAACAAAAGGGAAGCTAAACAGTAGATTGCTAGGCATGCAAGTATGTGGCGCCACCTATACTTGCACTTACTGGCCAGAAAATGGGCCACTGCACCAAAGAGCCAGTGAATCCAGTTGAAGATTGGGCGGTCAGGGTCGCCGGGGTGACAACGGAAGATAGAGATTATTGGCTGAAAATGGATCAGTTAATCAATGCTGAATAAACGGTTCAGAAATTGTTAGGCCTAAATAAATAATAAACGAAGGTACAATGCATTTTATAGTGATACAAAAAAATGTTGAATGCCATTAACATGATCTTATTTATCATATATTTAGACACATATAGAAGTTACGAGACTAGTGTTTAAAGAAAAACAAGTTAAAAGTAAAAAACTTAAAAAGTAAAAAACTTCCTTATTTTAAGAAGTGACAATTATACTGTTCTTGGACTAATAACTAAAAATTCTCCTTTTGCTGTTCAGGAGAATGGGACTCTGAACAAGTCTACTTACGTTTAGTATACAAAGTACTGTAACAATAATTCCAAGGATTGGATGGGCGTCCCACCAGGAATAACCTCTCCACTGAAACAACACAATTGAAGAATTAAGAGAGAAACGTAAAGACCCCCTCACATATGAACGAATCCACCAAACGAAGTTTTGCGAAGTGATAAATGCGAACAGAAGCGCATCTTTGCGCACGGTTCTGAAGTTGTTCGATGCACAACGTACATATACTAATTGGGACAAATTTTACCCAGTTCCTATTCGCAAGAATGTGTTAAGTGGATTCGTTCATATGTGAGGGGGCTTAAGATAGATTTAAACCTAAAGTCAAAAACAAATAGACTATGATTCAGTATGCCACATATGAACGAAAATAACTGTCAGGTTTCATATTGATGTGCTAGAGTACCAACATACTTTACATATGGAAATGACTAAATCTATAACTCACATAAAATTGGCCCGTTCTTTGAGAATCTCTTACTTTAATATGAACTTTTTTTTTAAATCATTTTATTTAGCCTAGGGTTTACAGTTTACACTATTATATCCCCTAGGGGGAAATTTTATTTAACTTACTAAGCTGTAGCCACCAACTTCCACGAAGATAATTATGAAAGCGATAATAGTGAGAGCCAATGTAGTTATCATACAAGAGCGATGTATCTGGAAATGAAGAAAAATTACAGTATACAGAATGTTCAATAAGTACTTGGTCAAACATTAAATACTGTGAAAAAACGCTGTGAATTAAAGATATCAATAGAAGAGTATAACTGTAATAATAAGTCAGTTAACCAGCATCAGATACCAGGCAATAAGAACAACTTCTGCTTATTTACAACAATGCAAAATAAAATATTTTGCAAAACATGGAGACCGACAAGAAATCTAATTAATTATCTTGGCGAAGAATCTAATATTGTTCACAAATGTGTCTCAAATTAAGATTTATTTGAAGCTTCATTTTGAAGGAAGTTGAATCAAACACCACCCGCTATGGCTCAGTGGCAGAGTCAAGGTTACCAATATCGCTTGGCCCCGGGTTCGATTCCCGGTTCAGACAAGTTTGTTTGTGCGTTATGTAATTCTGGGTGTTTGACTGAGTGGTTCACGACTCGTATAAAAGGCTGTGGTGTGTACCTGTATGTCTGTGTACCTGTGCACACAAAAGAACACAGGGCTCCTCCAAGGAGGGGTTTCTGGCTCTATCTCCGAGTGTAAAATACGTAAAATACGGAATATACCAATGAGGTATTGCTCGCCAAATATGGCGGTAACCAAGATATAATAATAAAAACACCCCTGACTGAAAGCTGGCTACACCCCTTCCAAATATACTTGCGGAAAAGGTTCCTTAAGGATAGGTTCCTCGGTGAGAGGTATTCCCTTAGACAATTTGAACTGCATTCTATTTTACTGAAACAAAAACATAGAAAAATGTTTTTCTATTTGCCATTCTATGAGAATTGCTTACCTGAAACCAAACTCTCTCTCCACACGCTCTAGATTTGACCCACATAGGTTTGTAATATCTCGCCAATATAATCCCAACACTGGCTGTTAGTACCCACGCTAAGGTCATCAAGCAACCTATAAACAAACAATTTGTATGATTAACATACAACCTATAGGCTACAATATAAACTTGAAAATATGTTCATTTTTGCTTGTAAAGGAGAAGTGAAAGTATCGCAACAGATTTCAGACAGTGAAATATTGGATTTTGGCTATTTTCTGAGGATTTAAACAGGTGCTTATGTTAGGACTATGCATTGCCTACAGAAAATATATTCATAGAGATGCAGTGATCTCCCCAGCATTAAAGCAAGTGGGCGCAACACTCATCTGAGATTTTTAAATAGGCTAGTACCCACCTGAAAATCCATTTGCACCCACTTGAAAATGAGAAGAAATTATGAAAATGGGCATAATTTAACCAATTTTGGTCTGAATTGGAAAAATGAGAATTATGGCCCCACTTCAGAAAAAAACCTGTGGAGATCAGTTTGTAACATAAAAATCACAGTGGAGATCAGTGAGGTGAGAAAATATTTTCGACTTTGAGACAGGGAAGATGCAAATGACCCACCCACATGTTTTTTCTGAAATGTTTCCCTGATTTTCAACCCCTTCTACCTCTGCTTTTTCACCAATTTGTTGCACTAATATGTTGCATTTTGACACAAAACGAACCCCTTTAAAGGAAATGCGACACTTTCCCTCCTCTTTTAACTAGAGGACAATTTCTGATTTTGCAAAGCTGCATGTTGAAAATTAATGATTCACTTGTTGTTTCAGAACTCAATATTATATCTAAAAAAATCTAAATCTTTTAGTAATTCAATAAACCAAGGGTATCTAAATCCTCCTATGGTATAACCAATTCCTTAAACATTATAATTACTTTTTAAAGTAATAATTAATAATACTAGACTAGTGAAACACAAAATAAACACCCGACAAAACTTACCATGAACTTTCATCAGAGGATAGGTGGCTCTGCCGGTCAGTGATGGTTTACTACCACTACCTGAGAAATCCACCATAGCAGGCGAAACAAGAGGAAATTGGCCATCAGTCATGACCTGATGTTTCTTGATGGCTCCAGTTGGTGCAGCAAAACCCTGGGCCACTAGTAGGTAGTACATTTTATCAAGGTTAAAGATTTGGTCCGCATCAATCATTTTCTTGCGATCAAACCTGCAGCTTATTCTTGAGCCACCAAGATAGCCACTTCCTCTAGTGAGTCCCGTGCTAGACTGGAATTAAGTGGCCCTCTAATTACTTATTTCATGAATATATGACAAAGGACATGTCTCAGTTTGGAGAACAGTCTACTGGGCTAATAATTCTTTTGTGGAAAATGTAGAAATAACACCCAAATTAAATAATGAATATTCAAAGAGGACATTTAAATCTTCAAGATATAAAAATATCAAAATTGTCGGAAGTAGACGTAACGTGCAGTAGACCGATTCAATAAAATACAAGTCTCAATATGGAGGAAGAAGTTCATCAGTGTACTGCGCAAAGAGGTTTTTTATGAAAAATATAGAAATATCACCCAAATTAAATGGATATTCAAAAGAGGACATTTAAACCAACAATATGTAAAAATATCAAACTGTCCAAGCAGGCGTAACATGCAGTAGACTGATGAACTTCGTTCTCCAAATTGAGACTACAAGAGAGCTGCTCAAAATTAACAAGAAAAGTTCACATGTCATATCTTTTGCATATAGTCAATATAATTGGGTGAAGTAGTTTCAGTTTTATATATAGGATCTGTACAGTTTACTTGAAGGTAGATACATTCTTTATATAGTTTATCTTTTCCATAGTCATTTTTACTTAGTCTCTTCACTTCACATGACATCCAAGACTAATATTATCTTTTATGGCTAAATATTGAAAGGGAGTCCTATTTTAGCCATCAGTAAACATATTTGCTGACTCTAAAATTCCCTACATGAGTGTTTTTCGAACCAGAGATTTGTTCTTTTTCTCTCAACATTATGCACAATTCTGTTTTTTAATCAGTACTCTTTATTTCATAAAAATCATGAATAAATCTATAGTTAAATCACGGGGCAATCACCCAGAAAGGGCATTTCTACTGCCGCTTAAAGTGAATTTAAATTACAATATCTGTAATAATATACACAGATTGAAATCATTTGTTTATGTGGGCCATCATTTACTGCACCTAGCTAGTTTCTCAGAGAAATATGAAAATGAATTTAAATGTGATCCAAACCCATATAGTGTTTATGTACATGCCAATCCATATAATCATCTACTTGGTTAAAAACCTCTAGGGTCACAATTAATTATCTAAACCCAAAGAAATATATATACAGTATATATAACTTTTATTGACATCTTGTATCATTACATATTTACATTAGTCATAAATGTTTTACTTACAACTCGTCCACTTCCCTTTCCTTCATTATAGTAGTTTTGTATGACAACAGTTCCCGTAATGTTAGAGTATGCACAGACAACAACACTGTCATCGCCCTGGAAACATTCAAGTGAAATATAGTTGTGCAATGGCATTTTTTATGGCTTTTTTATTTAATTTAACGGAAAATGATGATTCAGATGAAAAAGTTTTCCAAACAATGTCAGAGTGTATTCTGTATCTCACAGCATGAAAAATTCACCATCCTTGAAAAATGTAGTGAATTAAAAAGTTATTATCTGGAAGTTGAGCCAAACTGTTCATTAATCAGACAAAAAAAACAATAATTAGCACAAGAATCAAAACAAGGCATTAACATGCAAAATCACCGACCACAAAAAAGTTGGAGACTGCAACAATATGTCACTGGTTGCAGTGGTGATATAAAAATTGGATCTCATTCAGGAGAAAATGATTAAAGAACATACCATATGTTTATCCAGAGAGAACCCCAATGCAATATATTCAGTATTGATGGAGCTCATCTCAAATGTGAAATAATCGCTATCTTGGCTACTCTCTTTCCACGTCACAAGGTATCTACAGCTGGCTTCATCACAGCCATCTGGGACACGATAACAACCTTTACCAGACCCACAGTCATTTACAGATATGGCAATGGGTGCAGCTGGCTGAAAAACAATAGAAAATCTATCAGATGATTTTAAGCCCATACAAATGAGTCTCTGTATTTACATTTGAGGTATTTAACTTAATTTCCACTTGTGGTAAGATATTAGTTCGAACTCTTAGTTTTAGAGAAAAGGTAGTTAATGTCCTTATATGTCAATACCTTTTGCATTTGTTTTTATTTAATAATATATAGCTTCGTCTACATTGTATAAGAAAACCTCTAAACACTCCCAGCCAACCAGAACTTGTCACCAGAGGGATGATTTTGTATATAGCCTACCGTCATTTTGTCTGATGTCATTTTTGACTGATTGAGAAAATGTCAGCTCAATGGGTTTGAATTCCATTCTTTGCCATCCCCTCACATCCTGAATTTGTAAATCCTACCCCCAGGAAAACAGTCAACAAACTTATCCCTTCTAATCAATACCCTGAATTTGTATATCCCCCTGCCCCCAGGAAAACAGTCAACAAACTTGTCTTCTAATCAACACCCTGATTTTGTATATCCCCCTGCCCCCCAAAAAACAGTCAAAAAACATGTGTGCAAGTCAACACCCTGAATTTGTATATCCTCATGCCCACAGGAAAACAGTCAACAAACTTATGTCTTCTAATCAACACCCTGAATTTATATATCCCCCTGTCCCCAGGAAAACAGTCAACAAACTTATGTCTTCTAATCAACACCTGAATTTATATATCCCCCTGCTGATGCAGCAACTGGCAAAGTTTATCTGGTCATTCTTGTAAATATATCATAAATGTAACTGTTACTTACAGAGGGTGGTGGAGGTGTGGTTGGTAAAGGTCCACCAGCGCCATCTATCAGGTTAGCTGAAGGCTCCTGTACCCAAATTGTTGCGGTCTCTTTCACAAATGTACAACTAAAAATTCGAACAAAACATTACAGAAATGACCATATACATATGGAATTTATACTTAAAAATGTACTTCATAATCCATGATATATTTAATAACATACATAATTTGAATAAGAAAGAAATTAATTTTGACACTTTAAACTAGTTACACAATAAAGCCAAAAATGCAGCAAATGGAAATAAAAGGTGGTAAAATGAAATTGTTTAAACCATTTGTTATGATTTATGGAGCTCAACCAGGACCTAATCATAATTCACTTTGACTGTAAAGTGTAATGGCAAAACAGTAGCACAAATGAATTCACATGCATTTGTTCTACATCAGATTATCACAGCGATGATTAAGATAAGGTCAAAAACTGGTAGCAAATAAAAAAAAATTGTTAAACAATGAATGAGGAGAGAACAACATTCAGGAACCCCACCCCCACACACAAAACATGAATCTACAAGGCATTAACACGCAAAATGTCACCACCTGGCATTTCTTACAGATGCCAAATGCTAAACCCCGAACACCAACTGACTTCAGAAAAAAGTTGGAGACCATAACAAAATTGTCACCACTTGTGGTGGCGACATAAAAATTACTCTTATATTATAGCGTAAATAACACTTACTAGATTCTGACGTGAGCTGAACTGGGGTTTGGTGCCGTCCATTTTAGTGTTACACTTGTCTTAAGAGAATTTGAAGAGTGTGTCACACCGTTCTACAAAAAAGTACAAGAGTTTACTCTAATATGTTTATACATATTTGTTTTATCAAGGAATTTATAATTTATGATTTTTACTCTAAGTTAATGCATAAATCCAACCATTAAGCCCTTATTTGTCATTGTCCCGTTCAATCTGGAATGTGTCTTTGGCATCATTTTCAGAAAATATCTATTGGTTTGATAAAAGACAAGCGCAGAATTTCATCCGCATGTTTTCATTTAAGGCACACTGTACTTCACAGCCAATAAAATGGTTCAAAATTTTTTTTTCTGACTTTAGAGTCGCTTTCATTGGTTAAAACCTTCTCTGATTGTTCTATTTTTGAACTATGCATGAAGGTCCATTCAAAGTCGGCTATTGAACCTTAAAAAGCTATATTTACTAGACTGAGGATTGAAAGTTGTTCACGACAACTTTCAGCTCATCTTTATTGAGACGAACCAGAAGTGAATTTTTGTGTCGAGTAAATGGTGATAATGTTGTTTTTATGAAGCGAAGAAATCGAAACATTACAAATAGAAATCATAGTAAGCATCTGAAGATCATTTAGAAGCATTTAAAATTGAATCTTCGGCAAAATTTGAAATTATTAAAATATTCCCACACCAACCTCAGAGAAAACACTTCCAGTTTTATAATCAATATTCTTATCGATCAAAAATTATTTTTATGAATTTTTTCGATATCCGATTGTTATTTTACAAAATAGGTAGGGTAAAGAATATGTCAAAGTCGTTTGATTTTGTCCCAGAAGCAATATATTGTTATTTTTATTGCCCAGAATGCCTTTAACTAAGCCGTGTCGTGGGTCACATGGTTTTACATAATAGAACAATAAAAATTACATACAATTTTCAAAATTGTTTAAATATTGGCCCATTTTTCTTCACTGGGTCAGGTTTACTTACCCCCATAGCCCCCGAACATTCTTGCTTAGCTCCTGCAGGTGCATCAAAAGATCCAACTGCTATTTCTTGGTTCATGCTAGCATCGAGATAACGTCCCTGGCACAGGTAACCCTTGAACTGTTCTCCAGAGGAGCTAGCCAGGGTAACTACAAAAAAAGAGGGGGAAATATCTAAGGGACTTTAAAGGTAGAGACTCCATTTTTATGGCTCAATGTATGACAAAATCTCCTGCCTTTTAGTATCGAGAACAAAAAATGCACTGAACTGATTGAAAATTTCCTGAAACATGTCGTAAAATGAAAATTAAAGTACTTTCCCCCAGAATTACTATTATGACTACAGTTGAATTTAGTTTATTAAGGACACCTAAAGGTGGGTCATTCCCAGGATTGGAAATATGACTATGGTTTTAGTTTAAATCAAGGACTCCTTAAGGTGGGTCATTCCATGGTATTATGACTATGGTTTTAGTTTATCAAGGACTCCTTAAGATGGGTCATTCCCAGGATTGGAATTATGACTATGGTTTTAGTTTAAATCAAGGACTCCTTAAGGTGGGTCATTCCCAGGAATTATGACTATGGTTTTAGTTTATCAAGGACTTCTTAAGGTGGGTCATTCCCAGAAACTATCATGACTAAGGTTTTAGTTTATCAAGGACTCCTTAAGGTGGGTCATTCCCAGGAATGATGTCTATTGTTTTAGTTTATCAAGGACTCCTTAAGGTGGGTCATTCCATGGTATTATGACTATGGTTTTAGTTTACCAATGAGTCCTTAAGATGGGCCATTCCAGGAATTATGACAACGGTTTTAGTTTACCAAGGACTCTTTAAGGTGGGTCATTCCAAGGAATGATGCCTATTGTTTTAGTTCATCAAGGACTCCTTAAGGTGGGTCATTCCCAGTAGGTATATATAACACTTTAAGACAAACCTGTGATTTCATCTCCAGATGTGAAGTTTGTTTTACTAAGCGTAATTTGGTACGGTGAAGGCATGGTCTGTGGGTTCACACCATGATTCGGAAACATGCTGATGCATGCACCACTGGGAGCCCCAGTAGGATATCCAGATGTAAGAGACAGCAGGGTCAGGCAGAGGCCCACTGTCAACAACAGGCTTCTCATGGTCACCTAAAATATAGCATAACAATGAACAGTTTCATTTCAAGGTAAATTGTCAAATCAGAATTCATGTTTTATGTTTCTTGAGGAGCAAGAGTTTGGCGCTAATAGATCTCACATATCAAGAATATGCTCCAAAATAAAAATTCAATTACTTACATCAACAACTCTTGACAATTTTTTTAGGTTTAACCTCTTGACTACCCAGAGTGATGAGATTTCTTGTCACCTCAGAAATGACCTTGAAACCCAGAGTGACGAGATATTCCATCACAAAATTTCTCACTAAAATTGCTCTTATTTGAATAATTTTCATCTAATTTACACAACAAAAAAATATTTTTAAAATATGAAGAAATGATCTCTACTGTCAATTTTACTAAAATAAGCATACTTGACACCTGTTGTAATAAAATGTCAAAAGCTGGCAAAAATGAAAAATTCTCTGGTTTTAACCGAATTTAGAACCTGGGATTCAAGAGGTTTAACTTTTTTGCTTATTATATAAGGTCTAAAATATTTTTTCGTATCTGTGTTTGCTATTCCACTTGTACTTGGAATTCTTTTGAATGGTAGAAAACAAAAAAGTACAATCATCCATAAAATTGACCATTTTCATTTCTACTTCAAACTAATGAATGAAAACTCATGCCCATTGGCCAGGGGAGGGTTTTCCGGTCTAAACATTCTTTCAAAATCATGTAGTTTTTCACCATTCTGAGCACTCCTTTGGAGATTCTGGGCCAAAGCTGTTAAAGATGAACCCCTTATAATGTTTTGAAAAGTGACCCCTCCATTGGCAAAATTTTGCTACTGAAACTAATATTACTTAGCATTAATTACAATGAGCAACAAACACAGGAATGTAGACTAAGTGATTAATTTGCTTAAATGCATTTCCCATGAGTAGTAAACAAGGGTACTTGGTACATACATGGTACTTTGCTTTTAGATACTGTGAGTAGCTAAAGTTTTTCTATTTCCATGTCAGGTTAACTTCAAATTACTATGATACTCATATTATAAAAATTAACCACATATCTCAAACTGAACTTGGCATCAACAAGAACATTCATCTCTAGGATATAAAGGCTGATATGGATTATACATTGTATTATACATTGATTATACATTGTATATTGTACTGATATGCACAATACACTCTTATTTCCTTACCCCGAGACTCAGACCCAAGTACCTTAGGTTCTGAATGGAAAAATAAAAAAAATATACAGTTTTAACTCTGATACTATCTAAATGACCTTAAGAGTACCAGTTGCAGCATTTAATGAAGGTTACATTACAAAACCAATGCCAGGTACCATGACAGAATATCTAATAAATGCTATTTTGACAGAATCGTTATCGACCATATTGTCAATGATTGGTTAGAGCTACATCAAAGGAATGTCTCTCCCTTCAAGAATGTAGACGAAGCTCTCTTTTAAAGAAACAGACTCAAACTATTGGAAATGTATAATTTTCTTTTCACAACAGACGAAACTCCTACATGTTTTTGACTGTCTCAAACTAACCAAACTGAATTCCATCCACTAAGGGCCAAATAGAACTTATAAGTATCAATTTCAAAAGTTTTTTTTAACTCAAGGCACATAGATTGCTTTTACTCAGAATGATTTCTATTTGCAACAATAACACTGATGTTGATTATATTTCTTTTTATGTCATATTCATATGCCAATATCTGATCGAACTACAAGCTTTGTCTCCTCAGATTTTTTTTGATATGTGTGAGTTGGCAATACCAAGCCAATACTTCACAAAAAATAATAAAATAAATTCTTGGAGCTTTGTGAACAACTCTTCAACATCCTTTTGTCACAGCTACAGTAGAATATCATTATATTGAATATATTTCATTGAAAAGTATTGAATTTCCGAGTTTACTTTGAAATCCTACCTGTAAAGATGGCAATCTGCTGGTTGTTGATAGTTGATAATCCAACTCAAATCTGCAGTCCCTTGTTGTTTAACAGACTTTATGGGTCAGTCAGAAGTGACACACTGAATACCTGAAACACATATCATTCTAATATACTTCAAGGGATTAAATATGGCTTTTATTTCATGGGACAAGATATGAACATCATATCAATTCAAGGGACAAACCCATTTACAAGAAAACAGTTCAAAAAATATGTTTTTTATACCTTATACATTTATAAAGAGTTCCTAAAAAGCAATATTTAAAAGTTCAGTAATTTTTCACTTACATATATTTTGGTACTAGATATCTATTCTCCAGCTATGTTAAAGTAAAATATGCGATGTCCGTACTAGTTGACTTTACAAACCTTAAAAAGCTGACTTTTATTTCCTTGACTGAAACAATATCCCTCCGTTTCTTCAATTAAACTCCCTAATAACAAATCCTGATGTTAACCACATAAATGATGAACTCTTTTATGATACTGATATCAACGAAAAACTAAAATGTCGTGATGAATATGGAATTACTTGTGTTGATTTATGATTTAACATCTACATCAACACCTCTACATAAAAACTTTTTTAGATTACGAAAATGTTATGATACTATCCACAATATTATGGTGAATAATAAAATTGCTTTTTACATCTAAAGTACATTTTCAGCATCAGTTTTTATAATACAGTGAAACCTGTAAAGTGGAACACCTCTATAAGTGGAACACCTGACACCTCTGTTAGAAGAGCACTTTTCAGAGTCCCAAGACCAACTGACTTCATGTTAAATGAACCTCTATAAGTGGAACACCTCCCAAGTGGAACACTTTTTAGGGGTGCCAAAGGTGTTCCACTTAGACATGTTTTACTGTATTACATTAATTCTCATGACCCCAATGCCCCCAAATATAACAGACTCCTGAAAGGGCATGTTTTACTTGTCCAGGTAATTCACTGTGAACAAGTTTTATGTGATTCGTGATATTTTTTGAAAAGAAATCCAAATAGTACACATAGTTGATCAATACAGACTGCTGGTACACGATTCATGTTTTACATTCATGAAAACGTAATAACAAATAACTTTTGTTGTTTATAGAAAGCTATGAAAAGTCTACTTTCAATGCAATAGAAACACTTAAGTTCAGCTGTGGTAGATTAATGATCTGATTCTGGATTTGAAATAGAACATTGTGTTGAAGCAATTCGAAATGAGGCATAATAGCATGACAAAATATCACAATTTCAATCTTTTTGTATATTAATCAATATCTGGCCATTCCTCAATTTTCCTTGCACTTTAAGAGGCAGGGTGGGTGCTTCTAAGGGGGTGGGCCCTTATCACATGGTATCTGTTTTTCAATAAACATTTAGACAGAGTGACTTATACTAGTGTAAGCTTAGATTTCTTCTAATGATTTCTGCATATTTTGATACCAAATGACAAGATAATGAACAACTTATAAATATACTGGTACATGTTTTATATCAAAATATAAAAAATGAAATAAAGATCTTTATAGCAAAAGTATAATGTGACCCAGAAAATTGGTGAAATCAAATTGATCAAAATACTATTAAGTGCTCATTCATACTTAGACACAGACTTTTTATGATTTTTATGATTTGTCAAATAATTGACTGGGTTAGTTTGAACCTTTTCAGAATATCTTTAATATCCTATTTTATTTATCAAGTAATAATTTATATTGCAAAGTACTAAATAACAAGAGTGACATATCTCTTAGTTATTACTACAATCTATTCTTTTTAGTTAAAAAATATTTTATCAGAAAATTGAAAAACTAATCAGAATAAAATTATTAAAAACTCACAAGCTCAAAAATGAAACATTACATTTTAAGATCATAACAGAGACTTTATTGAATGAGTTTTGAGGTCATGGCTAAGTTAATAGAAAAAATTGCTCTCATGAGACACAACAGATTGCCCCTTGTAATGCTAAAGGACCTCAAATCACCAAAGTTCCAGAGGAAGAATTCATATATAAAGTAACAACACAGAATGACTTTGCCAAAATAATCTCACATAACTCTTAAAATACAAAAAATGATGTTTTTCATGATTATCATCATTTCTATGATAAAATGGTCCATCAGTCTTATTTATTTAAATTTCTGAACAAACAGAAACTGAGAAACACCTTAAGTTTACATTAAAGAAGGAAACTAGGTCAATCTACATGTACATAATATCCTAAGATGACAAGAAAGTACCATAGTGCCATATCAATATGCTTATACTTACAGAATCCCGAATCAATGTAGTGGAGTCAAACTGCAAGCTCTGAACGCGAGTTCTGATGTTTATTTATATTCTTATGTATGGTTTAGAAAAGTTGATAAAAATGGGCAATCAACATTCATACAATGACCAGCTATTTCTAGACAAATATTTGAAGTATCCCGTTTAACTAAAGATTTCTGCTAAGTCATACTTCGTGACTGGCCTACATTATATTTCCTTTCACCATTATACATAAACTAAAACGTATTCAGCAAAAACTATGTCAATATAAGAAAGGGTCAACAAATGTAAACATGCAGGTCGAGGATATTACATGGGGGACTCACAGAACCTCATCATTCTTGGAGGATTTTAGACTATGGATCAAGTTCCCTAATACACACCCCCATATCCTAGATATGATACTGCTGAGCGATGGGTGGCTCAATTTTCATCTCCCTAACAGGATTGGGTAAGGCTAGATCCAAAGGATTACCTCAAATTCATCTATTTACAAAAACACAATAAGTTGATTGAAAAGGGTTTCATACTTTTACTTATCTCATGTTTTATGATAAGTCTACTTAAAATTGCTTGTTAAGAGTACTATTAACAATATTGGATGCTTACAATCAACCTCTAACATTATTTCAAATTGATAACTCAAAAAGCTGAAAATTAAACTGACCCTGACAATTAAAGTACAATAAACTGTGAATTGGAGAAAATATAGTTTTGATGTTTTAAACGTAAAAAGTAGCTGTTATTGCCTTTGAAATTCAATGTATGCTGTTTTGATTATACAGCTAGATATTCTAAAATTCTGATTATGTGAGGCACTGAGGCTTACACTTGCAGTTGTGTGTATATGAAGCCTTCTTTTAAAGAATCAAATCATGAACTATTAGAGAGGGTAAACCAAACCAAGGTCTTTTTGCAATTCTTGATTGTGCAAATGAAGAATATTGAAAATACTATACAAATACTATTTATGTTGAATATCCACAGAATAAAAATACTTGGCATGAAACGGGGGATTACAGAGGGGCTATAGAATTACACATTGGTGTGAATCAATTCCATTTATAGCACAGACTTCCATAGCTTCCTCTAGTGCAGGCTGCCACTGTAAGATAACAGAAAAGCCGAAGAATCACAAATAACAAATAACACAGACTTGTTTGCTTCTTATCTATGTATGCATTAAAATGATGAGGAATTGTTAGCACAGATCTAAAATAATTACCCTTTTTAATCTATCTACACACCTATACTCTTTCAATAAGAGAGAATTATTTGACCCAGTCTTACCTTAACCAATCAGGTGAGGTCAATAAAAACTGAGCTACCAAATCAGCTAATTGCAGTCTCAGAATTGTATGCCTTCATACGTAGCAGACATTTATCAATATTCAAACTTCAATGAAAGGCCATTATAGCTGAATTTGGGCCCTATCAAATTTTTATCGGCCTCAGATTGCTAGAGGATGGAAAATTACAATCTACATCTGGGGTTTGGGTATTTTTAATGCATTAACATTGTTATGGCTCTAGAGATAAGTCCATGTTCAATACACCAAAATATACAATGTAGTTCACTCCTTCTGAGGAAATATGTACATACTGTAGCTCTACATACATGTAAAAAAATACAAATACATTATTTGACATAACAATCCAAAAAGTACAAAGTAAGATCAATAAGTAATTGTTTCTCAAAGACCCTCACGATATTCAATTCTCAAGTAATGTAAATAATATGTTAACCATCCATTAATTCTAGAAAATGCAAGGTAAATCATAAAATAGGTTGTTTGTTATATATCTTCAGTAGCCTCTATGAGTCAAAATTGAGTGGTGATACCATCAGTCTGAAACATGTTGCACCACCTTGTTATACACTCTAATTTTACAACTTTTTGAACAACACTCAAAAATGTTTTGGGAACGTGAAAAAATCCTGATATTCACAAAGTGCCAACAGCTACTAGACAGACACTGTTGATATAACATGCTACATTTATATTTTCAATGGCTCATTAGAAATGAAATTTATACAACAATTAATAGCTTATGTAGAAAAATATGTCTATAATATAATGAGCAGCATTTTCATTATAAGGACATTGGTTAATTATATTCATTAAACATTGACTTTTTTATAATACTTGTACTGTAGTTGGAATTCATCAAAACATAATTTTCAATTCTAGAATGTGTCTGAATCTCAAAAAATGAAAAAATATCTAATAAGCTAAACAGCCTTTGGATGTTAAGAATCGGGTCATTAGATAAAGTATCATTGGAGGAAAAAATAACTTAACATTTAATAAAGATCTGTGTAAACAAGCATCTATGGTTTAGCGACCTCTAACCTTTTAACATTAAACTAAGGCAGAAAACATGTCTTGAGTGACTCAGCATCCTCTAGAAGTACACTGTAGATTTATACAAAGGTTCACCTTTGATAAGTCATCATAAAACAACCATTGTCTCAATGTCTTATCTTAATTCATTAGTTACTACATGTATTAAGTTCTATTACACAAAGCTACTAGGTGTACTTGTACCATAGTAGAGTATATGCTCAGTTGAGGTTCTGAGGCACTTAGCCTGGGGTGGGGGTTCTGCTTGAACTACCTTTAAAACAGCATTTATATATTCAAAAGCGTCGAGCAATGCAATGATTCCCAGCCCTCTGAAGTTTGAAAAATAAAAATACCTGGGTGTTAATCCATGGATAATCCTTTAAAATGAGAAATGATTTTTTGGATTATATTGTGCAATCTTATAGTCAATAAAATGTTTTAAAGTGTATTCCTGTTTTTAAGATGAAAAA